AGTTTTTAAAAAATAAATAAAAATTAAATATTAAAAAAATTAAAATAAAAAAACATTTTCGGTATCGGTTTCGGCCTGACAATTTTTTTTATTTCGGTTTAGTTTCGGTTTTAAAATTTCCATTTCGGTGCACCTCTACAGAAAATCCTTGGTATGTATGCAACTACACTCTGGAAGTAACATCCCCGTATAAACAAGGCATTGCTTTCTGCCAGACCCAACAGTTATATTTACCTAGCTATGAAGCTATGTGAAAAACACGCACACACAGATTGGTCATATTATATTATACTAGGGCTGGTAATGATTAAAAATTTCCTGTTCGATTAATCGAAACACCTATTTCCAAGAACTAAAGTGTCAGCAATTACATTGGCACCATCTCCTGAAGTGGCTCTTCTTTCCTTCCTACCGGGCCCTTGAAAAACACAAAAGCAGATCCTATTAAGGCATTTTCAAGCAGCAGCCCACCAGCTTATCCCCATATTTTGGAAGATGACCTCTACTCCTCCGCTATCTCTCTGGGTCAGTCATATCAATGATATTATGAGGATGGAGGAGCTTCTGGCTATTGCCAATGATCATTTTTCTACTCAGTGGTTTTTATGGATACATTTTTTAAGCTTCAATGATCTCCACAGATTTTCGGGAAGCCCTCACCCCTGTGGCACAAGTTTTTTTTATTATTTTGCTATTGATTCCCCAGGTCAACTCCTTCCCATCCTTCTTGCCCCCTCTTCTTTTCCATTCTTCTTTCCTCCTATGCATCTAGTTTTCCTGCAGTTCCTTTATGTTCTTCATTTAACTCTCCAATTCTTGATGAGAAATACATTGTGATATTACCTAAAATAGTGCCTAGAAGGCCTCGTTCATTTCTTTTGGATTCCATGCACCACAAAGTTTCCAGTATCTGCAATGTTATGTAACCACTTCTTTCTTTTTCCTTTATTAATAATTTTATTCTTGGTAGTGCACATTATTTACATTTACATGCTCTGCTGTGGACCTAAGTGTAAGGACCACCTCACTTGATTCACATGCGGCTTGTATTGCTTGTTTTTTGTTTGTATCTGTTTGTTTATAAATAAAATTGATTCACTATAAAGTGTCAGCAATGACCAGACATGATGTGTTGGCCACAAAATTTGTTAGGGAAAAAATGAATTACATCTTTAAGCAGAAACAGTTTATATAAACAATAATAAAATATTATTCACTCCACTGCAGTCAGTCATTTGATTTTTGGTCAAATATTGCCATAATACCTCCCCCGATTCATATACTCTTTGTATGACATATGTGCAGAAGCTTTATTATAAGGTATTCGACCAAATGGTTCCTGATCATTGAAGCACGAATTAAACACTTCATCCACAGTCTTTTCTGCAGCCTCTTGACTGACTTTTCTCGTGGCTAGAATGGACTTAACAGCTCGATCTCGAACACATGTCTATATTGAAAACAGATATTACCTGAATTTTAGTAAAAGAAACTTCAGTCCAAACATAAAAAAAAAACCTCTATAGTCTCTGATGACAGTGTTGTTTAGCTCTCTGAATATGGATTATTCTTTGTTTCTAAAGTTCAGAGGGCTATGAACACTTAAATTAGCTGCATAATATTTCACCATCTGTGCTCAACCTTGTTTAGGATCACTGGAAAGTTTGGGAGCTCCATGAGTCTGTGTCCAACCCCATGTCTCCTTCACAATTACTTAAGTTGACCATACACCTTGCAATCATCGGACGAATATTTTCGTACGATGATCGCACCGTCGGACGATTTTCATATGGTGGCCCCATCATGCACCGACCATCGCACAGTTCAATTAGCGGTCATTAGCAAAATCACCTGGCTGAATTTAGTTAACTGACGGCACAGATTTTAGTTTGTGCATGAGCAGTGTTAATCCTGCGATTCAACAGAAGTTTTCTAGCCTGCTGGAAAGTCAAAAGTCGTACGATTGTATAGTATTTGCAGTTGTACACTGCCCATCAACCTTGCGAATATCGGATGAAAACGCGATCGCAAACGAAAATCGTCCAATATTCGTTAGGTGTATGGGCACCTTAAAACATGAAGCACAGAAAAGAACATTCCTACTGTATTTTGGGAAGGGAGATTTTTTTTCTCCCAATCCATAGGAATTAGCTATGTGCTTAGGATGATTTAGGATTAGCTATACACGTTTTCTAATTCTCCACCAGTGTACAACTGTTTGAGATGTTTTTTTTCATGTGACTGGAGGTATACAAGGGATATGTGTTATGGTCATTTGACAAGAAAGCAGCACCCGAGAGTTATTTTAAAATGTATTCAGTCACATGCTTTTTTTTTTTTATTTTAATTGACTGTCATGAGAAAAGTACGTTTCCGTCCACCTTCTATTGTTGGCATCAATATTTTTTAGTCACAGCTCCAAAACTTGCCTGCTATAAATGAGTGTCAGAACAGCACCGTAAGTCCATATCTCTATACTTGTTCCAGATCGACTCAGTAAGCATTGAAGCCAATTATTAGCATGAAAGGCAGGCAAATAACGTTTTCAGAAGGTCGGCAATGACAATCAATAGATTGTGCAAGTATACACTCCAATTGTAGAGCCAAAACGAAACCTCACCGCTCCAATTCCTTAGCCGCCATCAGGACTCCCCAGGAGCTGGTCTAATAGGTGCGTCTCCACCTTGGAATGTAGTAGTATAAGAACAGACCGCACTATCCAGAGAATTCGCTGGTTGGGGGTGTGCAGTGGTATTTGTTGCTTTATACACTTTTATTCACTGTTATACTGGGATTTGCTGTGAATTTCAATAAAGTCTGAAGTATTGTAATTCTCTGGATAGTGTGGTCTGTTTGTATACTATACACTTCAATTATTTATTCACATGAAAAGCAAATTCCTTTCATATTTGCTTTACATAATTGAAGTTACTATTCATACAATTTTTGGAGAGAAAATTCTTAACTCCTTTAGTGAGTTACCCCAGTTAGCTACATACACATGTTCTAAACTGGCTATACACACACAAAAACTTTTTGTTCCAACCATAAAAAGATCCCTTGTATACCTGGTAAACCTATGAATGCAGTTATGGTAACTTTTGGGGAAACCTAGGTATGTCCAATTGTATAGCATGTATAGGTCAGAATTAATATTTTAAATGCTGGTCAGCAAAGTCACTAGGTGACAAAACAGGAGTGGTTCGGTCACTGGCCTAGAGCTCACAGTCATGTATTTATACCTTATCAACGTACAGCAAATATACCTACCTTGTGATGCCCCTTTATCCCAAACTTTAACCTGAGCATTTCATTAGTAAGGGAACAGTCTCCACTAAGACTGGCAGCTCTAATCTGCAAAGAACAAAACACCAATTCTTAAAATCAATCCAATTATAGCCAGTAATTGTAGTCAAATGATTCTATAGCTTCTAAAATTCCTATGCTAAACAAACAATCCAGCAAGACAACAAGGATGTGCCGGGTAAAAGGCATGCCTGAAATCTATAACTAGCTTTAAATCTAGAAAATAAAGCTGTGGAATCCACAAGTGTGTGTGCACCGCAAGAAATAAGCCCTGTATGAACTTCATCGAAAGAATGCATCATGAAAAAGAGGACGCTAAGAACAAGGAAAAAAAACTTAAATGTTTAAGGTCCATTCTGCAAACGATACTTTGCTTCTGAGGATTTAAAGTAAACCCTTAAAAATACATTCAAGTACCTTAACTATTAACAATACTGTATCTTATTTGTGCATCACTCAGCTGTAGATCCCCAATCATCTCTGAATTGGTGCCGACATTGTCCTTCCTTCTGGAGCGGCGTTACTTTTGTTCCCCATGGTCCCCGTGTGTTGTAAAGTAGCCACCACTCCAAGTTCACTCCTGTGATAGACTATAATTTCAGTACAAATTAGCTAACTAAACATGACATTGTAGTCTATCAGAGGATAGAGCTTGAAGCAGTGGCTACTTTACAAGACACACAGGGACCATGGGGAACAAAAGTAGCCACCCTCCAGATGGAAGGACAGTGTCAGCATGAATTCAGAGATGATCTGAGGATCTACAGCTGAGTGATGCACAAAAAAGTAAAATTGTTGTTAATAGTTAAACTACTTGAATGTATTTTTGAAGATTTAACTCCTGCCCCCCACCTGCCACACTTCTTATACTCCCATCCTTTTCACTCTGTCACTCAACTTTCTCCAGGTCACTGTGGCTTAAGCATAGACTGGGTTCAGGACTCTCTTTACACCGCAATGTGATGGTGTCATAAAGAGATTCATATGCTCACCGTACCAGGTGTTTCTATTTGCTCCCACAGGCAGTTAGGGTGGCATGGGAACAAAGAGAGATTATTGCATGCATTGAGGGGATATAAGGCTTAACTCCTGAGTATAGGGTCCCTTTAATTGAACCTGTTGTTTTGCTCTGCATGAGTAAAGCATAACTTCCTTTTATATCTGACAAGCTAGTGACACTAATAAATAGTTACAATTAATCTGAAGGTACTACTATATGTCTACGATTGACCTGTGCAATACAGACTTTCCCAGTAACAAACATGCATTCAACCTAAACAGCTACATTGAAGAAAGGCAATAGTTGAAGTTCAGCACTGTAGAATCCTAAAAGGTGTCAGTTTGTTAAAGCTAAACTGAAACCAATGTAGTGCACTTTTTCCCCAAAAATCCTTAGAGCCAAAACTCCAGGAAACAAATGATTAAGTTACATACCCAGTGCACTGAGTAAATTATCAGTAAGCTCTCACGAGCAGGGCCCTTCCCACCCTATTGTTCTGAAACGGTATTGTATTGTAACTGTACTGTCTCCACCATGTTGGAAAGCGCTGAGCAAATTGTTGGCGCTATATAAATCCTGTATAATAATAATAAAGCTGGGTGTTATGTGCAGGGGGCTGCTGCACAGTATAAGAATCTTACCTTGCTGCATTCTGTCACATAACGTCGGGCTGTGAGGGATGTAACTCAAGCGGTGAACTGTTCCAGTTGCATCATCTGCCCTTCCTTGCTACTGCACATTCACAAAATGCCTTGTATTTTCTTTTTTGTAAAAAATGTAAGGCATTCTGTGATTGGAAGATGAGATTATTTCCCATCCCTTCCCCTTACTCTCCTCCTCCAATCGCAGAATGCTTTGCATTCTTTAAAAAAAAAATACAAAGCATTTTGTGAATGGGACAATAGTGAGGAGGGGCGGGAGATGCGACTGGAGCATTTCACTGTTCAAGTCACATCCCTTACTCCCCTCAGTGTCCAAAAGTCATATGTAGGAGCTGGCATGATGTAAGGTAATATTTTATACTGTAAAGCAGCCCTCCACACATAACATTAAGCTTTTTAATAATAATTTATAAACCCAGTGCGATGTGTAAATTATCATTTTTTACCCGCCATTTTTTGGCTTTAGCTAACACTAAATTGCATTATTCAAATAAATACCTACCTCAGAACAAGCAAGGTGTTGAAGATTACTTGAGAAATCCACATGTGCACGACAGTGATCATAAGCATGAATCAGCTCATGTGTAACCACCCTGTTCATTTGCTTTTGATCGGTAATGGTATTTTGACATAATACAATCTGGAAGAAGGATCCAAAAAAAAAAGCTTAGAAAGAAATATATGACATTATAAGCAAATGATCAAAAGAACTGTAAATCAGTCTTACTTAAATGCATAAACCATGCAGTAAAAATGAATACAAAGACATGCAACACTATAGAGGCAAATAAAATTAGATGCCGATATAGCTTGAAGAAAGAAAAAAAACTGCCAGGATTACATCAGGAAATTTAATCTCAGATCGCCCTCCATTATTTGAAAGGTTTCCTAAGCATTTTTTTTCCTGCACATTGCAGTAAATTGAGTTTCCCTCAATGATAACTCATTTATTTAGAACCAGCCTGGAAAAGAAGAAATCTCTACTAAGACTCCAAAGGAGATATAGTAGACAGAATCTAGTGCAGTAATTATTACTTTTTTTTAGAAGGCAGAAAATCAGATTTACAACTGCACAAAAAAAAAAAAAAAAACACTTCAGAAAAGGTAAATAAGTATATGTGTGAATATATTTGTAATCCAATTGTGCTTTTCCCCCAAAATATAGAGTCACCTATGCAGTATTTTCTATGACCATATAGTGGCTTTAACCTCTCTATGTGATTGGCTATTTACTCTCATAAATATGATCCAAAAAGGAAACACTACTGCAGAAAAATCTGGTTCTGCAGCTTCAGGGACCATGGTGTGTATTTATAAATCATTCATAGAGCCATTCAGCCTGAGAATCTCCACAGACGTTCATTCTGTGTGAATGAAGGGAAAAACAAACATTCTTAGCATATTTTCTTTCCAACTGGAATGTAATGGCAGAAAACACATTATGGCCACTAGATGGAGCTGAGCAAGAATAGGAATAAAGAATAAAGCTGTATTTTTCTGCCATTACATTTGACTTGGAAAGAAAATACGCTAAGAATGTTAATTTTTTCACCACCATTCACACAGAATGAACGTTCATAGAGATTCTCAGGACAAATTGCTCTGGGAATTGTTTATAAACACAACCCCATGTCTCTATCTTTGTTTGCAAACAGTAGCTGTATGAATTATGTTAACGCTCCTGTCAGTGTTGATGAAATGAATTACCTCAGAAGTAGCTGAATCAAAGCCCCCTCCTACTTTTTCATCACAATCTTCACAAGTAAAGTGTCTGTCCATGTAAGCTGTACTGAAAAATACATTATAGTTCACCATAAATACCATAGTCGACATGTTATTATCCTGTAAAATTGACAATGCAGTGGAAACAGCCATCCCCACATTTGCTGTCTTCGAGGGTTTCTGAAAAATGATACAAGATGTGCAACAAAAATTGTATTGCATAGCAAATGGTGGAATATAAGTGGAAGAGTTCATTGGAAAGTGGAGACATTTGCTGACAGACTAGAAGACAGAGAAATGGTTTACATCACTGGGAAAAGCTAATGTTCCCGTGTTTTTCAATTTTTGCCACATTGGTTACAGTGGAACTACTGGCAAAAAAACACCTATAAAGTGAATGAATTGCAAGCACTATTTTGCCTTTGAAAGAACTGCTTTTATGGGCTGCTAATTTATATCCTTGTAGTGTGGTTTGCAAAAATAAGATTAGCGCATTTAAAATGGATCCTCGCTAAAACAGACACTTGCCAGCGCTACAAAGTCACATTATTATTTTGAGAGAAAAAAAACAATTATTAAACAATAGAGTGAAGCATAAATAGATGTTTTTTGGCTACCAATGAGCATTATTGACACTTCATGTCATTAGTGACTGTAAACAGTCTATTGTCTCAAATCAACAGACTGAATATAAAAAGAAAAAAAAGAAGGGGGATATTCAAGTTTTGTTTAAATAGTTATTAAAAAAACAAGACAAAACAAAACAAAAAAAATCCACAACTTACCAACCAGCCTGCCCCATGGCATTTAAAAGTATTTTTATCTGTGGGTCTAATAAAAGAGGAAAATGAATCATTATTATACACATACTAGTATACACAGTCAAAGATTAAAAAAGTAATTGCACTTCTGTTGAGCAAAAAATCATTCCCCTCTGGGTGATCAATGCACTTTATAAGGACGTTGTTGCATTTTCCAACCTGTTTCTGTTAACTTTTAGAGCAGTGGTTCTCAACCTTTCTAGGGCCCGGGACCCCTTGGTAACATTTGCCAAGTTGTGGTGACCACCAAAGAAGCGCTGGACTCCAGAATTAGTAAGGTGCTGGACTTGGGACTAAAAATAGAAGCACACTCACAAGAATACAAGCCCTCCCCAGCCCCTGCAACCTGCTCTGTCTCCATGCAGCCTTCTCAGCCCCAGCACTGCTTAGACGCCCGACTCCTGCAGAGCTCACATTGTATGGGAGGCAGGAAGACAGCAGCGGCTGTGAATAGAAAAGCCCTGCGTTACACATTCCCCGGCCACTAGATGTGGCTGCAGCGGCCATGGAGTGTGTATAGCGGCACTTTTATATTCACAGCCTCTGCTGTCCTCCCGCTGACTGACACTGCTGCGCTAGGAAGAGCTGAGGAGCCTCTCGCCTAGCGCAGCAGAAGTGGATGCTGCGACCTCCTCAACAGTGAGTTGCCACCCACTTCTGGGTTGCGGCCCACGGGTTGAGAACCGCTGTTTTAGAGAGTATCTCACCAAAAATGAAATTCCTATTGCAAGGGATGCCAAAAATTTTACTTTTATCTTAGTACAAACTTCTAGAAAAGCAGTCAGCCAATCACAGAAGCAGGAAGCTCCATTTCTGGAGGTGTTCCGTACACCAACTATGCACGGAACGACTCCAGGTCGCCCTATTGCATTGAATTTTTGTGGCAGATATAGAGCATTACCGCAGCTGCATTTTTAAACGGAAAATTTATTTTTAATAACGTTAAATTACAAAATGGCTTGTGCGACAATTATACTGTATATGCTATATTCATTTTTTATATTTTAAAGTGGAGTTGCTCTTTAAAGTGATCTTGTGACTAGGATAGCAAAATGCAAGCACAGGGTGTAAATGAACCATTCTGGTGGGTGGCGAGTCAAATCTTTGCTGTCTTGCAGAGCTACAAACATGGTTGTTATCTAGTACTTCCCAGAGTGACAGCTAACACGACCCTATCCCCACCGCTGGACGATGGGCTTCCTCCCACCAGCCGTTACGTCCTTACTGCATATATTCTACTTTGCAATTCACACTTCACAAAGAAAAGTCCACGTTGCACTTTGATCATGAGTAGGCACAGCACAAAAATAAAATCAGAACAAAGACACAGGGACTGTAAAGCCTAATGTGTGCTTAGCTTTACACTAGTTAATGCTCATTTTTGTTCCTTCTAGCAGGTCCGCTTTATTCAATGGGCAAAAGGGCCATTTGCCCAGGGCCCACAACTTTTGCCACAAGAGGGGAAAATTTCCTTAGCGCACAGCTTTTCATTTACGGCCCGCAAGGAACTGTGCCTCTGCCTCCTGTCAGCCTGACCCAGCCACAGTGCAGTAGCGGAGTGATGTCCTCTTCGGATGTGACATCAGAGCCAGTGGGAGCCGAGATGAGGAAAAGGAGACAAAGAGATGGCACACGTGTTTATTAAGAACTTCTGAAGCCTTACTGTAAGCTGTGTGTGGCCCTTAAGGTAGTGACTTCCAGAGCCTTGGATAGGCCCTGCATACCAGTGATTATATACAACACTGAGCAATCATTTATTTTATATGACAATACCAGTTGCATTCCTTCCATTGTTCAGCAATGGAAGGAATAGTAACTTCTAGGGAAGCGCCGATACCAGTATCAGTCCCTTTACTGGGCATTTTCCCAATGCCCCGCAGCCGGAACTTTAATTTTTCAGACTGAAGCGGCTGCTTTAGGTTCCACGTGGTGCCCATTTACAGCGCTTCCACCGTCCCCCACATTTCCCCCTTCTGAGACCTCCTGCAAATTAACGATTAGTTGAATCCCCTAGCTCTCTCCTCCATGCTGGGAGGAGGGCACAGCATGCAGTGGGTGCGAGCAACAGCCAGCCTGCTATTGAAATGGCCAACTGCAGGCTGGCTATTGCACCCGCCCACTACCTAACGTCTCTGCAGCTTCTTCTCTCCTTCATTCTGGATTTCTAAAGACTGCTGATATCATCAAGTACAATGCAGGCTCCATAGTCCTGCAATGTCTATGAGGACGCCAAGGAGAAGTCCACAGCTGGAGTGGAGGGGGAAAAGAGGAGAGCGCTGACTTCTGGGCGAGCGTGTATCAGGGAAGCATAACATAACTTTCCTATACCCTAGGCATAACTGAGCAGTTAAACCTTGCAGTGCGGGAAGGGACGGGGTGCAGCCCCACTGGAAGAGAAAACTTTTTCCTTTCATTTTCCTGAACTTGGGTTTTATGGATGTGGAGCGTTGCAAACATTTACAATTTCCACTCTAGCTTGCCATTAAGGGCTTATGCACAACCCCTACAATGTAAAATCCTGCAATTTCCCCACCAGGAAGCCAAAAGTGCTGTGTGCAGCTTCCCATAATAGTCAATGACTGTATGCAGCTGTACGCAGGTATACGCCAGACTTCTGTAAAATACGCACATGTGTGCATGAGCCCTGAGCTAAAATCCTCAGTCTTGTTTGTTTACTAATAAATACTGTCATGTGTGTTAATATAAACATAAAGTATAATAGAGATAATAAGGAAAAACATTTCTGACAGCCAACAAATCCAGGTAGATGTATGAAATAGTGGTAACCGAGACATTCACCATTCACCTCTCTCATCTGCAATACACAACAGAAGTACATCTCACACCTACTTTCTGCCAAAGCCAACTTTAGCCTGTTCTGGCATCTAAACTTTAAAAAGTACAGCTTGGATGCCAGGGACTCCTTTCTAGGATTTCTTCTGTCCCTCTGCGGGAACAGATGGTAGCCAAGATCTTCTTTTGTCGGCTTCTCTTCTGTCTCATTCTCTTCTGCCATGATGTGCTGTCATTAGGTGACCCTGTGCAGGAGGGTACCACGTGAGCACGTCACCTGACTTTCAGGCTCAAAGTGATGACATCATCCATTAGGAGCGCTGCAGCCATTTTTATTTAGGGCAAAGAATGCTACACACAAAATGCAGAAGGGAGCTAGAGCGCTAGTTATGTGGTAAAAAAGGTGCGTTACTGCAGAGGCCCCGGGCTAGTTTGTATACAGGCGTCGTTTCCTGCCAGTGAGCAGTCCTGAACAGAAGAAAAGCGAGTATAGTGTGCTGGGATTTGTACTTCTACAGAGACATGAGGAATGGAAATAAATTGTGCTGGGGCTTGTAGTTCTACAGAGACAGGAGAACTAGAAGCATGTTGCACTGGCACTTGTAGTTCTTTAGAGACGTGAGAAAGGAAAGCTTATTGTACTGGGACTTGTAGTTCTTTAGAGACATGAGAAAAGAAAGCTTATTGTACTGGGACTTGTAGTTCTTTAGAGACATAAGAAAGGGACGCATATTGTACTGGGACTTGTAGTTTTACAGAGACATGAGAAAGGGAAGCATATTGTACTGGGACTTGTAGTTCTTTAGAGACATAAGAAATGGAAGCATATTGTACTGGGACTTGTAGTTCTTTAGAGACAGTAGAAAGGGAAGCATATTGTACTGGGACTTGTAGTTCTTTAGAGACATGAGAAAGGGAAGCATATTGTACTGGGACATCTAGTTCTTTAGAGACATGAGAAAGGGAAGCATATTGTACTGGGACTTGTAGTTCTACAGACAGGTGAAAGGCGTGTACAGTATATTGTGCTGGGACTTGTAGTTCAACAGAGTGAGAAAGGGGTATATATTGTAGCTCTACAAAGACAAGTAGAAGGCATGTATATTGTGCTGGGACTTGTAGTTCTACAAGGGCAGGTGAAAGGGACATATATTGTGCTGGTACTTGTAGTTCTACAAAGGCAGGAGGAAGGAAAGTAAATTGTGCCGGGACTTGTAGTTCTACAGAGAAAGGCAAAAAAAAAACTACATATATTGTACTGGTACTTGTAGTTCTACAGATAATGGGGAAGGGATGTATATTGTAATGGGACTTGTACTGTAGTTTTACAAAGACAAGTGAAAAGCATGTATATTGTGTCGGGAGTTGTCGTTCTACAAAGACAGGTGAAAGGGACATAGCCTGTACTGGGACTTGAAAGTTCTAGCCCCATAGACTTGCATTGAGTTCGAGATCAAACTTTTCCCATATTCGAAAGTTCGAATACGAACTGAACACGGGGGTGTTCGGCTTATCACTAGTACCGTGTTTCCCCGAAAATAAGACACTGTCTTATATTTTTTTTGGCTCAAAAAAAACACACAAGGTCTTATTTTCGGGGTAGGTCTTATTTGTTTTTATGTACTTTTTTATGTACAACAATCCACACTTATTCATGTACAACAGTCTAGATGTATTCAGGGCAATCAGGGGTGCCGCACCTTTCCAAGAGCAATTTGGTAACCAATCGCTGGCCAGAATGAGCGAAGCGCACTTTCACTATCAATTCCTCCAAGGCGGAGTGCATTTGGTATCACTCCGCCTGTGAAAGGAGTCGGCGCTATAGAGGAGGCATCGGCTTATGCGGCTCTGCTCCCTCCGGTCCTGCCTCGCTTCCTCTAGCGATGGCTTCATTGGCACAGCTGATTCTCTCCTACCTCTCCCGCGACTCTTCAAGTTCCCCCTTATGCCACCACCGGCCCTGGGAATGGTCACAACTAGGTCTTATTTTCGGGGTAGGTCTTATATTTTAGCAATTTCCAAAAAGAGTACTAGGTCTTATTTTCGAGGAAACAGGGTATTGAGGGGGTTAAAACAGAGAGCATGTTAATGGTGCACCAGATACAATAAATGTACAGGTCATACACAGAGGGAGGCAGAGGTGAAGGTGTCAATGTGCAGGATAAGGCAGCTGAAGGGGTTAATACATCAGAGCAGCGACATGTACAGGGCAGCTCACATATACGAGAGAGGAGGCTGAAAGGGTTAAAAATTATTGCAAACTTTTTGCAATTTATTTTATGGCAAACTTTATTTTTTCTTGCTGCTGCAGCTTGTTGTCGCTAGAAAATAATGAATGGATGACTCATTCATTCATGACTTCCTTTACTACCTTTGTTGTAAGAGGAAGGGGAGGACTTGGTAATGTAAACATTGCCATGTGACCGCTGTGATAACCAATCACGTTAATCACAAGGCACAGAGCCATTTCGGCTCTGTATGCGGTGCTGCAGCAGCTTCTGCACATGCAAGGCATATTCAGAAAAGGCAGCCACGGGTGGATGTACAGGGGTGTCCTCCAGGAACTATGGGTCTACATACCGTCAGTGTATGTACTGTGGCCGGTCCGCAGATGTTTAATGTGCCTATAGCGTTTAAAACACGTGTTCTGACTCATGAAAAAAATGTTTACCAATGTCCTCTTTTTTTTTTTTTATTTAACAGTTTGAAATGGAAAGTAATATAGAGCAAGTGACCTGATTTGAGGTGTAGTAGGTATGTGGTGTGTGATCTGGCAGGTTGTGCTATATTTTGTTGCTTATAGACCCAACCAAATTTTTTTTTCACAGATCCCAGTGCCCTGTAAACGCTTTCTCACCACATCTGAAACACACCGCAAGTGATAAAGGCGCATTTCCATTGACAGGAATGGAGGTGGTTGAGAAGGAGCAAAAGCAGCCAAACATGACATAAAACGTGAAGCTACAGAGACGTGACCAGAAAATAGGCTATTGGGTATTAGGCGACATTCACACAAGTTATGATTAGATGAGTTTGAAATAGTTTTCTATACGCATATTTTGCATCTAAGGCTCTGTTCACACCTAAGCGTATCGATTATGCGCGTTGTGACGCGCGTTTTTACGATTCGCGGTTAAAAAACGCGCGACAAACGTGTGTTTCCGAGGGCTACTTGGCTGTATCCCAATAGAAACACGAGACAAAAACGCCGCAAAGAAGCTCATGTACCTTTTCAGGAGTAGGCCGTTTTGTAGCGCGTTCAGACGGGCTGAAATACACAAGGTGTGAACCATACCCATAGAAAACACTGGGATTTCCATGTTTGAGCGTTTCGTAGAGCGTTGAACGCGCTACAAAACGTACAGGTGTGAACCAGGCCTAATAATTTTCAATGGAACTTTTCACACTTTGCGTTTAGATGCTTTTAACGGCAGTCACTTTTGGTGCATCTAGGAATCGATTCTAATCAAAACGCATGTGAACACAATTTGATACCAGATGCATATGCATGTAAATGCACGTAAACATGCGCCACTTAACACACCTAGAAGAGTAAACGCAGCATCTAGCCTGACAGATTGTTCTCTGCATCTAGAGCACAAAAAGGCAAGTGTGAATGAAGCCTAATACTGTCAGTGGTCCATCTAACAATTACTACTGAGCATTGCTAGGTGGTTGTGGAGTCTAAGGCCTCATTCACATTGACATGCACATCCATACAGCTGCAGAGCTCTGTCTGCATCTAGGGGCGGGCATCTGTACCTGTACGGATGTGCAAATTCAGGTCAGTGCATAGCTGGGTCCTGCCCATGCAGCACCTGTCCCTCCCGGGTGCAGATCTATGCACAGATGTGTGTGCTGTACACGTCAATGAGGCCTTACAAAATGCAGCTGAACCACCTGTGTGAACTTAACTTTAGGCCTTGTTCAGACGGGTGGCAAATTCCACCTCCTCTCTGAAAACAGATCCACAGCGGATCTCTTTTCAGAGGGCAGTAGAGCAGAAGCTGTCCGGAGTTCGAGAGGTAATACTGCCGCCTTTTTTTTTTCTAACCCACTGGGGATTTTGAATTGTAATTGTGATGGAATTTTGTGTTCGATTTCACCGGCATTTTACCACTTTCAGTGACTTCACTGCTACCCAGATTAAATCCCTGTTTGTAGCTGATTTTGACAAGTTTCAACTCTGTAGTTTGCATTTATTTTCTTTGCCTCGTTGGTGATGTACACGGTCCAAAAACCAGAAGCATCATTGGTCTAATGCTTTTCAAATTCTAACAAATTAACGGGTAGGTTTGCCGGCGGGGCACATGCACATATTCCCCTGCACATAGGGTTACAGTTAGGCATGTGTCTTAGTGTAGCCTTCATGGTTAAGAGTATGCACGTTGCTGGTGTTTGTGCCAAATAAGATCAGTCCTGTCTCAGCTTAGTGCTCATTGGTCTTCAGCAGTAACACAAAACTTATTTTGTTATCCCCCTTAGCAACCCAGCTTCCCTCGTAACATACTTCTGAAATCTGCACATCTCTGTTTGGATCTCTGTCTTGCCAACATCAACCTTGGCCTGTTTTCCTGCTGTTCCTGTACCTCAGCACTCAACTGCTGCTGACCTTGAGCCTGTTCTCCTAAGATCCTGCTTGCTGTTCCTGTACCTTACTGCTTGACTGTTGCTGAACTTCCTGTTCTCCTGGCTATGATCCTGCTTGCCCTTGCTGGCTGACTAATGCTGACCTTAGCTTATTCTTTTGGCTATGACCCTGCATCTTGCTGGCTGACCGTAACTTGTTCTCCTGACATTGATCATGCCTGCAGTTCCTGTACTTTACTAGCCGACCATTGATGACCCTGGCCTATACCCTATGTTCCTGCTCCATGACCTGCAGTTCATTAGCGTTCTGCTTGTTTTGTTGTCTTCTCTGCAACCGCACTCCCAAATTATGGTAGATCTGGTTTAGCAACACAGGCACTCGTGCTTCTCCAATGCCCTCGCATAGCTGTCACGCTTTCCAGGGGTGCCCAGGTTGAGTTTTAAAAAGGTACATTAAATATTAAAACATTTTGTTTAAGCAATTTATTGCACATGAAAATCAAACTACAGAAAAAATCATTTTTAAATATAAAAAATTACATTCACAAAAAAAAGGAGACACAGTCTCACACATAGGATGGTTTTATATGAAAATAATCCCAAAACAAAGAGGAGAATCAATAATATAAGCAAATTGAAAATTGCATCATTGATCTTTTTTTTTTTTTTAGATTTCTGAAGAATATCTGTTCCGATTTTTAAAATCTCTGTATGCCATATCTGCATCATTTTTACAATGGGGGATTCGACCGAATGGTTCATGATCCTTAAAACAGGAGTTAAATACTTCATGAACAGCCCTCTCTGCTGCCTCTCGGCTGATGTCTCTTACAGCCATTATAGAACGAAGAGCTCGATCTCTGACACAGGCCTGTTTAAAAGACAAGAAAGTGGGCTATACATATAACAATATGGCCATTTCAATAAGGGATCTCATCTTTCAGAAACTGAATGCATCAATTAATCTGTTTTACCAGTAAGCAATCATTTTCATCAAAAAATTACAATTGATCATAGCAGATAATACAGTCCAAGTGGATACTTTTCTTTTTAGCATTAAAGGAGCACTATGGGGTTAGGGCTTTTCCCCATAGTTCTCCTAAGGGTAATGGACGAGTCATTTGCTGCATTAGAGGGCTGGTAACCGCTGAGGATCAGCGGTTACCATTCATTAATGGATGCCTCAGTATAGAGGCATTCATTAATGAAAGGGTTAACCTTTTTCAGACACCTGATACCTTAATATCGGGTGTCTGAGAGTCAAAGCAGAGCCGACACACATGCCGGCAAAAGCCGGCATTCTGACAGCTTGTATAGATCTAGAGATATCTCTCTCGATCGTATACTGGCTTTTTTTTCCCTTTCACTTTCAGGAATAGATACATAATGTATCTATTCCTGAAAGAAGAATGTTTCAGTTTTCTGTTCAGAAAACCTTTAGTGACAGCTGAATCCTGAACTGCTGCACGATCAGTGTCACTAACTTATTATTGGCTGTTCTGAAGTTTGAAACAGCCTAATAAAAACCAAAAATGTATTAATTTATCAAGCAGTAATAGTGAGATTAATTCACAATGACTGCTTGATATAATTAAAAGTTTTTTAAAAAATAGTGAAAAGTGTAAAGAAAAAAAAAATTTAAAAGACAAATAATGAATGTATTTATTGCATTTTTTTTTTAGCTGTGCTGGTTTTGTAAAAAATACTACAAATTACGTTTTTTCCGCTTTTTTTAATATTTTATTTGTCCTAAGTGAGGCGTTAGACACACATATGTGATATAAATATGTAGCCCTATCTGTCCTCTAAAAAAACAATATATAAATATGTGTGGGTGTACTTTGTAAGAAAGTATATTACTGACGTGGAAGAATCACACAGCAAAAATGTCAAAAGTGTGTCAGTCATTTACGAACAGAAACTAAAAACAAGCTCAGTCATGAAGGGGTTAAAAAAGGCATTTAAGTGCATTAAGTATTAATAAAAATGTAGGTCTTTTTTGTGTCTGGAGGTGGGCTACTTTTGTTCCCCATGGTCCCTGTGTGTGTTGTAAAGTGGTCACCGTAATCTCACATTTAGTTTACTAAAATTGTATTGGAGATTGTAGTCCATCATGGGAGTGAGCTTGGAGTGGTGGCTACTTTACAACACACACACAGGGACCATGGGGAAAAAAAAGTAGCCACCCAAAAATGAAAAACCGAAATAAAAAAAAAAATTAAAAATGTTTTTAATTTTAACCTTTTCAAATTTTTATAAACTTAATTTTTTAAATGTTATTTATTCATTTTTAATTAAATCTTTTTAACTTTACTTTCAGGGGCTTCGGGGAAATATTAGGGGTGTAAACCTAGACCCCTGATATTTCCCTTCTAAACTAGGAGATTGAGGACACAGATTCCTCAATCTCTTTTTCTGTATCGCGTTATAAATTAACAGGAATCCTCTATACTGAGCGTTCCTGTTCATTCATAACATGAGGACATGGTATGTTTACTATAACCACAATCATGACTGAACAGGAGGTGATAGAGATCACTTCCCATTCATTCATAATTGAGGATACAGTAACCATACAATGTCCTCAATTATTTACAAACACTCAGCGATCACTGAGTGTTTGTACCTCGCTCTCCCTGCTGACACGCTGTAACAGGAGGCTGAGCCAACGGAGCAGGAGGAGAGCTCAGCCTCCTGTGACAGCGCTGGCTGTCTCCACCCACACTGCTCTCCTCTAATCTGTGACAGGAGGCTGAGTGGTGCGGGGAGGAGAGACGCCGGCCGCTCACAGCACTCCTCCCGCAGCGCTCGGCCGTCTGTGACAGTTTCTCTCCTCCCCGCTGGGACACAAAGCAGCATTCAGCGGGGAGGAGAGAAAGAACGGATGCACCGCTGTATCGGCCAGAAAATGGCACTTTTGGCATTATGCCAAAAGTGCCATTTTCTGCCGACATGCTTCAGCTGCCCTTATATCGGTGCACCCCTAGTTTTTAAGGTTTAACTCCTGAGTTTAGTGTCACTTTCAGCATCTGATTTTATTTTGCCTCATCTTTTATCTTATTTGTATTTAGTATAACCCCAAACTGTTTTTATTAAGCCATTATAGGTAGTGTGGGTGGGTGCAAATTATAACCAAAATAATTTCTTACATACCTGATGATGCTGTTTAAATCCAAAATTGAACCTGCTAATTTCATTGCTGATTGAACAGTCTCCGCTAAGGTTGGCAGCTCTGATCTGTACCAACAGAGAACACAAATGTTTGCTGTTTAAAGGTTGCATGAAATCCTCTCACAATGTATGTAGCAGAAAAACAGGAGAGGCCGATTTACAAAAACTACTCTAGTTTTTCAATAGGAGCCCCATTGGTCTTGGGTTTGATCAACAAACAGTACTTGATTGCAACATCTCCACTTTACATGCCACAGTAACTCTACACTGGGAAAAATATGTAGGTTGTCATCAGGGCGAATTTGCTCTCCAGACAGAGTCCCGAAGAAAGAGCCAGCAGAAAGAGGTAGGTGGAGGGGCGGGGTGAGGACGGACGTCAGCACACATTTTACAAGTGACATCGCCGCAATCACTTGTTAACGAGCGAGCGGATTCCCCACACTATATTTAGTCCTGCCTTCACAAAGCAGGACGAAATGTAGAAGGCAACTTACCGCCCGGAATATACAGTGCGGGGACTCCACGCCGCTGCCGCCCCGAGGCGCCCTGCTGCCCCGAGGCCTGGCCTCGGTGGCCTTGTGGGGAATCCGGGCCTGGTTGTCATTGCAGACCTCTCCCTCTGAAAATGCTAGTTAATTGGAAGAGATGCTAATGCAATAGTGTCTGGCTCAGTTATAGAATAGCAGTACAATAATATAAAATGCATTAAAACTTCAACATCAAGGGTGAACCATTGTATGAATCTGGTTAGTTTTACGTTCCAGTATCTACAAAACCTGTAATATCAGCTTTGTGTGGAATGACCCTTTAAATGTGGAAATATGGTAGATGCCATGGTTGACTTGTTTTTAAAGTTGCAGGCTTCATGGCTGCCGTCCTTACCCTACCTTCACTACCTAGTGACTCGCTCATCCGAAAACACATGGTCAGATATTTAAAACTTGCAGGTTGCATTCTTGCTCCAGGTCAGTGACTCACGAGTAGGGTAGAGGAGGATGACAACTCGAAAGTCTGTACATTTATAAACAGAAGAAGTGGCAGCTATTGTATTTCTATGGATACAGGTTTACTTTAAAAGAAGTCTTAATAATTACTAATGCCTTTGTGAGCAAATATATTGGTTGGTGCAAGGCACATTTGCACACTGATCTATTCATAGTGGTTAATTTTTTTAATAAATATCAAATATTTTTTTAAAAATGATGTACTACACGAACTACAACCCCATTGAAAACTATTGGAAATTTTCCCTGTAAAATAGCTTCTTTTTTAATTTGAGCTCAAGAAAACGGAATATACGTAAAGGAAAAGGTAGCAAGCATAGCTCTTAGCAGGTAAAATACCAATACTTAAAAGATTGGAGTATTAAACAAGTACACTGTAAGGGTGTATGTACTCTTATTAAGCATGACAGCTAATACCCGCCAATTTGCAAGCTAGTTAAGGAATTAATAGAGTTAGTCTTACTGGGCTTTGTAAACCTGTGTCATTTGAATGGGGTTTGCCAAATTTTTTAGTAAATCTTCTGGGTTTACTCATCTTGCTAGGTTTTACACTAGGGATGCTCCAATACCGTTTTTTCAGTATCAAGTACCGATATTTATCTTTCGGTACTCGCCGATACAGAGTAACAATACCAGTACTTCCGCTAGCATGGAGCTGGCAATTAGGAAGCTGGACTGAGTGTCATTACCAGACGTCTGCCTTCTTGATTGCCCGGAAGCAGACTCCATGCTGTTGGGCCAGAAAGCCGGTTTGCCAAACAATCAGCAACGAGCCAGCTGTTTGGCCGGCTTGATGTTGATTGGCTGGGAGGCCAGCTTTCCAACCAATTTGCATCGAAGTGGCTTCCCGGCCAATCAGGAAGCCCTGTCCATGTTCCCTCGCGGCACTGCCGGTCAAAGGAATTCTTCCTCTGACCAAAGTTCTGGTAGCTGAGCTTTTGGGCGAGTACGAGTACTCACCCAAATACTCAGTATCAGCGTCAGTGAATCCCTATTTTATACACAGAAATTGTGTTGCTTAGCTCATGTACTACTATGGGGAACACTGCTGGGAACAACACTGATCAGCAAATAGCAACAAACTGGCCAATGTAATATCAAGTCTCAAATTACTACAATTATGCAGGCTTACTTGTCAAAGATTGAAAATTGTGGTTTTATTTAGCTTTAATTATTATATTATGTCTGATGACTCTTGGAGCTTAGATCCCCCCCTCCTTTCAGTTGTGGCAGTTGCTACCATGTCAACTGGCTGATCTCACCCTAATAACACATGTTGTATTCTCTGCTTCTGAGGGTGCCTAACAATATCATAAAACTCCTTTGGCATCCCAGAGAGTTTTAGTCTGGGATTAACGGCACCCACTAGCATCTTCTTAAAATGATGCCAGCTCTGGTTATATTTACCCTATAAATGCTCTTATATAGATCACTGTGAGACGTTTAACCTCCTAAATGAAATTATAACACCACAATATCCTAGTTATCAGAAACTTTCAATTTAAACATTTACAGAGTTATTCACAAAAGGGTGAAGAGTTTGGAGAAGGCAGGAGCATGGAACAATCTAGGACAACATAGCTGAAGTGGAAAGTGAGCTGAATTGGAGAATGTTTCCAAAAGCTATTTTGGCCTAGATTGTTCACTTCTCCTCCAAACTCCCCCTTTAGTGAATAACCCTGTTAGTTATGGAAATAAAAGAAGGCATACCTCGGAGCAGGCTAAGTGCCGTACATTGTTAAACCAGTCAACGTGTGCACGGCAGTGATCAAAAGCATGAATCAGCTCATGTGTAACCACTCTGTTCATGTGAGCTTGACTGTGTATATTATTCTGACACAATACAATCTGTATGGGTAGAAAATAAATGTTAAATTACATTCCTGGTTCAATTAGAAGCTTTTGGGTATAGAATGATTTTGAGTTAAAAAAAAAGTGTTTAAACTGGATAAAAACCACACAAGTTTGTTAAGCCTTCAACAAATCCTCATTTCCTTTTTGAAACATTATACAATGGCCTACTACAGTCAAGGCAAACCTTAAGGCTGGTCAGTGGTCTCACAAGGGGGGTTCGAGAGGTGCGGCCCGCACCCGGGTGACACCAAAATGACTGGCAGTCATTTTGGGGTCATCCACTCTGAAAAGTCAGGCACTCGGTCATGGACCGAGAGCCCGACAGTTTCGGGAGAGAGGAGGGGACCCGGCGGTATACCTTATCCCTCCGGGTAACTGTCCCCTCATCTCTCTAGTGGGGAATGTTTATGACATTCCCCACTAGTCATCAGATCACCAATCATCGGGAGGCTGTTCTGACATGATAAAGCAAAGCTCTACTAAGAGGACTGCCTTCACACAGAGACACACTGTAGGTGAGTAATGGGGATAAGAATAGCAGCAGGAAGACCCCAGTCATTACTGGTTACTACTTCAGAGTGAGATTTGGGGAAGTCACTGCTGTGCTGCTCACGCTTCTTGCTAGGGACTCTGACATGAGGAAGCAAAGCCATGCCTCCACACATTAACTCAGTACAGTGTAAGGCATGGCAAGTCAGTAATAAGTACAGGTCAGCTGCAAGAAGACCACGGCAAGGTGACTTGCCCTTTCTTGCCTTTTTTTTTTTTAGGCACAGGTTTCACAGTTTAGATCCCCTTTAAAAGAACTACTCTGGGCAAAAGTATTCTTAACCCTTGCAGTGGGCCAGCCCATGCACTGCAAGGGCTAAGTGCTCATTATTGCCTAGGGTCAAAAATAAAGTTACACTTGCCCGATCCTCCGAGCAGGACTGCGAGCTTTCTCCTGCTGGTCTTCGCCCCGCTACAGTGTTTGCAGAAGGAAACTATAGGAAATCAGTGGAAAACAACTGCACAGAATATGTTATGCCCATACAAATGTGACAATGACTGTGCAGCATTTTGCATTGGATAAAATGTAGGGATGCACCGAAAAAACAAAATGTAAAAATAATTACTTTTTTTCCCCAACCTTTTTTAATTATTTTATTTTTATTATTTTTTTACTTTACTATTAGGGGCTTTGGGGAAATATCAGGGGTCTAAACCCCTGATATTTCCCTTTTAAAAAAGAAAAAGATTCAGGTGTTTTTCTCTGTTATCCAACAGTCTTTTTGTTTAGGTTATCTTGTGCATATCAAAACTAATACAAATAAATAAAAATAGAAAAAGAGGAGATTGAGGACAAAGAGTCCTAAATCTATTTTTCTGCAGTCCCCGTTATGAATTAACTTCACAAAGCCTCTATACTGAGTGCTCCGTCCTTTCTTAAACTGAGAATATAGTATCAGTTACAATGTCCACAATCATGAATGAACAGGAAGTGATGTAGAGCACTGCCTGTTCATTGTTGGGGACACATAAAGCTTACCATGTCCTCAGTTATTTAAAAAAAACTGAGTGTTTGTACTCTGCTCTCCATGCTGACTGATCCGCCTGTTACAGCAGGCTGAGAGCTCAGCCTCCTGTGACAGCTCTCCCTTCCCCACATGGCCTTCTGACAGCTCCTCTCTTCCCCACTGAGAGCGGGCAGCTGGATCGGCTCTGTGTCCCCTCCGATCTTCACTGCCTCTGCCGACAGGTGGGGAATAGAGGGGACACAGACCAGCGCTCAGCAAGGAGGAGAGAAGCTAGGGATGCATCTAAATTTTTGCTGGTTTTGGTACTATCAGCATTTTGCCCATACTACCGTTTTCTACCAAATCTTCGGTGCATCCCTACTAACACCTGTTTACAAGAAAGAACAACTTTGTACAAATGTTTGCCAATTGCCTATACCGGGCCAAATGTAACTATGTTCTCACATATCCTGCTTACATCATTGGCTAACTGATATTTACACAGGAAATTAAGGAAATAAATACTTACTTCAGAGGTATCTGCATCAAAACCTCCACTTACTGATCCACTGCAGTCTTCACAAGCAAAATGTCTGTCCTTGGAAACTGCACTGAAAAGTGTAACATATTAAGTTATGAGAAATGTTCTGATTTGATCTCGTGGAATATGAATTTTCCTAGGCTTTGTGCCTAGGCTTTGTGTGGCTGATGTGCCTGTTTAAGTGAGTGACAGGCTGACAGTTGCCACGTCTGTCTGCGGCTGTACATACATGAATCGAAGATATAGCAATTACCTGTGTTTCAGGGCAGATGCTAGTGTCTGGATGCAGAGAGGGTCCAATGGCAATCATCCATCCCTAACAGGTGATCACAGAGGCAATGGTAGATGCCGCATCTGGGCAGCACAGTGGCGTAGTGGTTAGCACTTCTGCCTTGCGGCACTGGGGGTCCCCAGTTCAAATCCCGGCCAGGGTTACTATATGCAAGGAGTTTGCATGTTCTCCCTGTGCTTGCGTGTGTTTCCTCCAGGTACTCCGGTTTCCTCCCACACTCCAAAGACATGCTGGTAGGTTAATTGGCTCCTCTCTAAGTTGGCCCTCTATGTATGCATGTGAGATAGGGACCTTAGATTGTAAGCTCCTCGAGGTTAGGGACTGATGTGAATGTGCAACTATGTAAAGTGCTGCGTAAATTGTCGGCACTATATAAATACCTGTATGGCCCCACCTGGGATTCCTGTGACAAGAATCCTCAGCGGCAGCTAACAGCTCCTTAGGCATGAGGCCCAAATGTAACAACCCGGTATTACAACAGTACATGACTGAACCAGACTGTTTTCTCAAGCATCATTTAAACACTCAGTAGTATTTGCTCATACTGCAAATAGCATTAAAGTTCACTTAGCCCAAAGGAGCCTATCGCTGTAAGCAATATAAAACAAATGATTGATGATTTCTGGTTTACAAGTGCATGTCACTGCTTTTTGTCATGTTATTAATAAAGGGCTATTGATCAATGACAGTTTTTCACCCATTTGTGTATTTAAAGTGACTTACCAGCCAGATTGTTTCATGGCATCTAAAAGTAACTTGGCATATGGACCTAAAGAACAACAAAAATATAGGACATAATATGTAGTATTCTGCTAATACCGATTGTGTAATTGCTTTCACTTAACACTTGATTTCCATTCTTAAAAGGAGGCTCTAAATAAATCAAAGGATTGTGGCAGCTCTAGCTTGCATAGAGTGAAGTGATATGAGCGCCAAACCACATGGATTAATTAAGATTTTAAGTTGTCTGCCACTTAAGTTAACTGAGCAAGCTTCTAACCACAGCTTACAATAAAATTTAAATCCAGGATTAACCCATCCAGATCCCTCTCACATAATAAAGCTCTGATGAAGGGGGATTTGTACATAACTCCCTCAATGTTTTGTCTGTCAACTCTAACCATACCCTACTCTGTCCTAAAAACCCCCCACCAAAAAACAGTTTTGGTTTTAGATACACTTTAATGCAACCTTCTGCTTACATTAGACAAGCTGCTAGAGGGCTTTCAGCAGGCTTCAGCGCTACTTGTTGATGGCGCCCTGAAGCCTACTAGTATCTTATGCTTAAGGTGCCCATACACTCTTCAATGTTTGATCGGAAATCTTCCATGAATGGTCTTTCAACTGAAAAATCGAACAGTTGATGGGACACCAATTATTTTTTTTACTGTAATCCTGCTCACATTTTTTTCCAAGTGTGAGGCTGGAAAACTTTTTTCGAATCAAACGGAAAAAAAAAACAAAAACAAAAAAACACGTTAGATTATGGGATTTTGGGAAAAAAATAAAAATACAAATCACAGCAAGAACATGCACAAAACAAAAATCCTCTCTGTCGAACGAGAAAACTCGGCGAGTTAGTATTACTAATGAACGATTATTGAAAATCGACATTGGTCTGTGCTTGATGGGCTATGTGTGCTAGAATCGAATTAGGGTTCTTGGCAGCAACTAAAATTTCCGAGTGAAAATCTATAGGTGTATGGCCAGCCTTACTTTAAAAGTTTCTCAGAAAGCTACTCAAAGCTTGCAGAAAAACTTTTGAAATGCTTTGCAAAAACTGTCTGGGCATGCTACTCATATATAGAATAAGGCCTGTATGTACAAGGTCTAAAAAAGAATGGGTGTGTTGGATACCTGGTCTGTCTTGCTGGCCCCTATACCACTACTGTATTCTGTAGTGACGTAACTGCCATCAGGGAACCAGGCAAAGCTTTAACGAACTCCAAGCAAACAAAATAAATAAAAAATAAAACAAACACAACTTTACCTTGTAGTAGGGCTACCCTGCACTGCAAGGGTTAAGTGCTCATTTTATCTAGAGGGCCAAATAAAGCAGAAATACTCACCTGATCCTCAGCCTCACTGGCGCCCTCCAGGCTGCTAGACCAGCTCCTTCTCTTTGGCCTACAAAAAGTCTAAGCCCTGCTGACGTCTTCACGGCTTATGCAAGTCCATTGACTGGCATTAGATGTGAGGACACTGAGGGACATTACAAAGCCAGAGTGGAGGGAGAGATAGATAAGCCCTGACCCTGGATCAGGTGAGAATGTCTGCTTTATTAAATAAATTGAGCACTTAACCATTGCAGAGTGGGGGTAACCCTGCTGCAAGGGTAAGTTTTTTGTTTTTGTTTACCTAGAGTGTTTCTCTATCATACCTAACAAAAGGGTAAGAACTCAAATCTTTTGTTTTACTTTGAAGGCTTCTCCTGTTTGAAGTCTTGTTTTTTTTGTACTGTAGCGACTTTTTATCCAGTGGAAAACCTTAATTTTGGTAAGGGTATCCGTTTCTATTTATGCAATCTTGGTGCTTTAGAAATGACAGGGGTTCTAGCATTCCCTTACTTTTCTTAAAATCAGCCCTTCACTCTTAAAACGGAGGCGTTCCTCCCTTCCACCAACCATATAAAAAAAAAAAAAAAGCAGAGAAGATGGAAGGAGGTCACAGCAGCACAATGCTAGATTTGCTGGGCAGGTATGTTTTCTGATGAAAATCCTGTCTTGCAGGGAGGGGATAAAAGAGCAAAAGAGGGGTGCGATTCCTATGTAAAAAAAAAAAAGATTTTCTCTGACTTCCTGTCTTGTAAAAAGTCAGAAAGTGAGGGAAAATCTTTCTAATGCTGCCCCAGATAGCAATAAAAACCTGATGGAGGTTCTAAGCCTTCCTTACTCTAATCAAAACTAAGTAAACACCATTTTGACTCTAAATATAAGCTTAAATCAGGACTCTGGGCAAATGAAATCGTAACCCTAGCACTACTACAAGGGTTAGGTGCTTTTTTTGTCTAGGAAACCTAAAATAACAAAAAGTTATACTCAATTGAACCATGATCATTGCTGCCTTCTACACTGCTCCCTCCAGTGATGAAAAGTCACTTGACATCCCCACATCCTATACACTGTATAGGACTTGATGACTGCAGGGCCTTAGACTGCTGAAGTGGAGGGGTAGCAAGGCTGAAGGGACCAGTCTAACAGCCAGCTGGGATTGCGGTTCAGGTGAGCATATCTCTATTGTTTTAGCTCCCTAGACAAAATAAGCACTTAAGGAGAACTATGAGGTGAGTGCTTTTCACTCACCTCATAGTTCTAGCCGACGTGTGACAATGAGACTGTCACAGGTCGGCTCAGTAGATCGGGAGGTGAGCGAACACATACCGACGTTCGCTCACCTCTCGATCCTGTCACGGCTCTCTGCCGTGACAGGGGAGGGGCTGGATTCCCCCCTCCCCGATCCGCCAGCGCTGACTGGCGGAACGGACGGCCGAGGGGGTGGGTACAGCTGGCTCTGCCTCTAGATAGGCTGAGCTGTCAGTCAAGTAACTGGGCGGATCCCAGCACAATTGTCGGGATCCGCTTCAGTGTCTCAGTATACCGCTAGCGGTATACTGAACCTAGGGTGACGGGAGGACACTAGTTTGTGTCCTCCTGTTACCCTAAGGAGAACTATGGGGAAAAGCCTTAACCCCATAGTTCTCCTTTAACCTTTGCAGTGCGAGAGTAGCCCCACACATGCCCAGAGTTCTGCTTTAAGTGGGAGAAACTTCTTTCCACACAGACAGAATATTTTAGTACAGTATCATGCAGCATAAACATAAGTGGAATGAAGAAAGTGGAAGTGTGTCACATACTTATTTCCATGGTGATATTCAGCATCTTCTGACACCCAGACATAGAGCCATGACTTGCTTCAGGTGACTCCCTCTGGTTCTCCCAGCTCTGCCTCTCTGGGAACACAGGGTACCCGTGTCCTGACCTGTCTTCCTCCATGGGCCCCTTCTGTCACCTTTACAGCTGTCTCATTTCCCCATCAGCACCTGGACAGGGGGCGCCATATTCACACGTCACTTCAAGCAGTACTGGCGAGTACTTATTACGTCACCGACTCCATCGCAGCCATCTTTTATGTGGGCAGGAAGGGAGCAGTAAAATAAAAACGTAATTCTTATTAATGAGCAGGATATATTTTCTAGTAAATAATGATTCAATAGAAAAGCTTTGGCAGGAAAGATGGATAAGATGTCTCTCGACTAATGCAGCCGTTCGCTTCCAGCTTCCATACACCGTTGGAAGCTCAGGCCCGGAGGCTTCCGTTTCCATGGTGACTGTGGCTCCGCACGGCATGCTGGGAGTCCGTGAATGGGAAGTGAGAGCTGAGGAGCGGATGAGTGAGAGCTGCAGGTAGGTGACTGCGGTATGTAGTTCACGTGGTTTCGGGCTGATATATACCTTGGAAAATGGCTCTAGGGTGTGTGATTAGACTTGCTACACTAATGACTGGAGTACTGCTTCAATACAACCAACCAGCCAGCATGCTCTGAACTGCTTTATTAGGGATGTCACAATTTAAAGAGCACTTGTCAGGAGAGAGCTATTTCTGACATAGTCTCCATTCACAACTAGGCATCAGCGTTTTCAGGCACGTCTTTACCACTTTTTGTTGCTCGTTAGACGCGAATAGGCAAAGACGCTTCTTATTGAGCAGATCAAAATGCATTGCTGTGAATGAGAAAACGTGCAACCAAACGTGCCCAGAAATGTGCAAAACGCTTGTGTTATGGCGCGTGTGCATTTTCATGTGCTTCCATTAAAGTCTATGCGGCCAAACGTGCTGTTATCTGCCCGAAAGAAGCTCATGTACCTTTTCCAGCGTTCTGTGTTTTACAGCTTGTGACAAAACTCTCAGATGTGAGCAGGGGCCATAGAAATGAGCGGGATTTCTTCTGTTGAGAGTTTTGCCACGCTTATCTTTGAGCGTCAAAATGCCCAGGTGTGAACAGGGACTAAGGGAGTGTGTCTCCCTACTCTGGGCTCCAGGTATACAGCAGGGGTGTAGCTCTACTGCAGCCAAACTATTTTATTTTTACACTCTTGCCAACCAGCACACAAGTATACAGTTGTGTGAAAAAGTGATGGCCCCCTTCCTGATTTTTCATTCTTTTGCACGTTTGTCATACTTTAATGTTTCAGATCATCAAACAAATGTAAATATTAGTCATAGATAACACAACATGCAGTTTTTAAAGGAAGGTTTTTATTATTAAGAGAAAACAAAATCCAAAGTGGGGGCAAGAAGTTGGACTTTAAATACTGGCCACTGTCCAGTACTGGAAGTGTACTCCCAGCACAGTGACCGAGTTGTCGCTGACAGCTCCTGCTCACTGTTTACGATTGGGAGCAATAGACTGGCTCCTGATCATGTGATTGCTGTGACAGCCTGTCCTGGCCTGGTGTTGCCTGCTGGGCTATTGTATTCTGACAGCAGCAGACAAAATTTGGCAGTGTATAGCCAGATTAAATCATCCACCATCAATGCTAGTTTCTAGAAAACAGAAATTAAAGGAAATAATGTGTATATATAATAAATACTACGGTACCTACAAATCTCAATTCATGTTATGGTTGCACATGTCTATAAACATGAACAAAAAAATATATAATCAAGAACCTGGGGGTGAGTATATAGATCAGTGAAAAAGTCTGACAGAGTTATTCACAGAAGGGTGAAGAGTTTGGAGAAGGCATGAGAAGTGAATAATCTAGGACAACAGAGCTGAACTGGAAAGTGAGAATTTTTCCAAATCAGCTATTTTGGCCTAGATTGTGCTGTATGTATATGTGCTATATTCTACAAGGAAATGAATGGGGGTTGTAATCCACTAATGCTTGTCAGACATTGTGCTATCTTTGTAAAGCTGCCCATACACCTTACAATTATCTGCAGATTTTCTGTGGTCAGATGGAAAAGGTGCAACAGATTCCTCCATTCACACTAAACTGTGTGGATGGAGGAATCTCCACCTGGGCCAATCTGTTGCACTTTTTCCATCTGACCACAGAAAATCTGCAGATAATTGTAAGGTGTATGGGCACCTTTAAGGTGTATTAAGTCCTACAGTGCTGTACCACATGTGGAACAATTCTGTAAAGATAGTTTCTCAGGAGGAATATTGGGGCTGGAACGCACTGGATCGCATTGCGGCCGGCTCACTTTGTTTTGGGGCGGGAGGGAGTGCATTGAACTTAATAGCACCGCAGCTACGCCCTCTGACCGCAGTGCGATTGGCCGCACTGGAATGCATGGCACATTAGTTTAAAAATATTGCTTGCATTTTTTTAGACCGGAACGCAGGCACTGATGTGCCACACGTTCCCGTGCGGCCGATCACACTGCAGCCGGAGGGCGTGGCTGCGCTGCCATTGAGTTCAATACACCGCCACGTCCCCTCCCGCCCCACCACAAAGTGAGCCGGCCGCAATGAGATCCAGTGCATTCTGGCCCCAGTCAGGCTGGAACACACTGTGTCTGGTGTGAACTAGCCCTTATCAATGCAGAGGAAGCAAAGGGTTGCATGGCAAGAAGGGATGCAAAATGGAGACAGAGCTGTGCTTTCAGTGCTGCCGGTACCTTCCTCATAGGAACAATCATAATTTGGGCTTCAGTCTCGGGTGGAGCTACAGCCAGCATTGATAGTAATAAAAATGGCATTTCATTTCCAAGCCACTGGACAGAAATTCATAGGGTCAAAAGCTATTTTCACGAGGTCCCATGGGGGATTTAAAGTAGTATTAAACTGCCTTGATTCTTCATGGCATTGATTCAACAAGGTGCTAGAAACATTCCTTAGAGAGTTTGGTCCATACTGACATGATAGCATCACTGAGTTGCAGCAGATTTGTCAGCTGCACATCCACATCAGCATTTGAAATAGCTTAAAAACCTTTTGACTTTAATATCACTTTCACGTGCCTTTTTACCTTCTGGTAAGAGTCCTTCTTTAGAGACTAGAGTATATTTGCATTTTGACAGAATTAAGAATATATTGAAATTAAACAATGACTATTCTAAGCCTGATTTGAATGATCTTAGCCTGTGGCTCACCAGATGTTTCTGCAGAAGCTCTCCGGTAGCTGGGGAGATTTGTAGCTGCTACGAATTTCTACAAACGTTGTAGTGTGACTTGCTCCTAAGGCTGTCATGTTTGGTTACATACAATTAGCCTCAGTACATGTTGGAAAGTTAAAACTAGGGAATATAATATTCAGTATAAAAACATGACTTGTATTAGCAAACAATATGCAGTTCTAGTACTCCTAACCAATATGAATGCATCACTTCTTTCTGAACGGGTGTAATGTGTTACTAATACTGTAGCATAAACATGAATACATGCATTTTGACAAATTCCAAACTTCTAACCCAGCGGTATATTTAATTGCTTTCTGTTGCCAAGGCTTCTTTGTGCTGAATCTGTCACCATCCACCATGGCTTCACCGAATAAGGCTCTTGAACTGCAGTTACAAATGAAGCAAAATGCAGAAGAGCTTCAGGATTTCATGAGAGAGTTGGAGAGCTGGGAAAAGGATATAAAAGAAAAAGATTCCTCCCTGAGAACGCAGACTGGTGCAAGTGAAGAGGTGCGTACCTTCTCTGACAAAGTTAAGAGATCAGGTTTACTGCGCAAGGGAAAGATTACTCATCCACTTTTATTTTCCACCCTCGAGTTTATTTATAAAGTATAAAACTGAATTTTGATCTGTTACACATTGTCCTGTGTCTTTGATAATGCAGCCGGGATAGACAGAGACAGGGTGATACTATTTTGGCAAGGAAAGAATGAGAAGTGCTGAACTTGAATCCAGTAATGGGATGAAATTGACAGTCAAGCATTGGGGGGAAACATTAGAAGCAGCTGGAGCATAAATAGGTAGTCTCATGCTTATCCTTCATTTAAAGTGACATTAAAGGTTAAATTTATTTTTCCCTCCCCCCAATGTTAGTGTAGGGACTTAGCGTAAATGATGCCTCTTAATCCAATCATTATCTTCTTTAGTGTAGTTTTCAGAAGTCCCTCCAGCGCTGGTGCAGGTCTCCGTTCCAGCGCTGACTCCTCTGTCCCTCTTCTTCTCTCATGTCCCACGGAGTCTGTGTGGGCGCACGCTGCTCCATATACTTACCTTGTGTCTCTTCTTGTCTCACGGCTGAACATCTGAACGGCGCATGTGCCCGCCCGAGACATTTTCAGATGTTCGGACGGGAGCATGCGGCAGAGACACGGGTAAAAATTAACCCTAAACATGCAAGGGTTTAATAACCCTTTAACCATGTTACATAAACAGAATCTGCCAGATAGGGAAAAACTGTGTGGCACATTATGCTCCTAATATAATAAAGTAAAAGCTCTGGCTCTCCCAGCCTAAAATGTTTCCAGTTTTGGATGGGGGAGTACCACAGGCAGGAAGGCACAGCACAAAACATTTTCATTTCTATACCCTTCCTTAGGCTAATTAAAATGTGTTTGTTTTCACCTTTGTCCCCGCTGAAAAGCAGCCCTGGCAGAAAGTGAGGAGAAATGTTGTCAATAGGAACATAGATGGTTATAAATACCAGAAAGATGCACCAACCTTTCTTCCCCCTATCCAAACTTAAATGCAATGTTTTTGGCTGGAGTTGGCCTTTAAAGCAGTTGTAATATGATGTATGTATGTGTGTATAAATCTATACTGTATATACATTAGGGCTGCAACCAACTAATTGATGATAATGAGAATAGTTGTCAACTATTCTCATTATCGATTAGTTGGTTGGATCCCCTAGCTCTCTCCTCCATGCTGGGAGGAGGGCACAGCAAGCAGTGGGGTGCAGTAGCCAGCCTGCTATTGGCTATTGTAATTTGAAATGGCCAATAGCTGGCTGGCTATTGCACCAGCCCACTACCTGCTGTATTTACATTCAGCTGCCACTTGTGGAATCTTGCCACTGGCAGTTGTCATTCCCTGGCTGAAGCTATTCAAGCTTACAATACAGTTATTTAAAAATTTTTTTTTTTACAAAAGGTGGGAAAAAGTCATTTTTGGTTTCGGCCTGACAAATTCTGTTGCAGGAGATGCGTTGCAGTGCCATTAATTTTAATGGCACCCCAAACGCGCCTCCCACCCACAGTGTGATCGCCCACACTGGAAAGCACAGTACCGCAATGCTGTGCTTTCCAGTGCAGTGCGATTGCAAAAAATTGTGTATGCAGTTTTATTCTGAAGTAAACTTTATGTTTGTAACACTGCATTTGTGTATTTTTTTTAAAATTAAGGATGGTACTTTATTTTTTTCGATTAATCGCATTAAAAAAATTATCGGCCAACTAATCAATTATGAAAAATAATTAGTTACAGCCCTAAGCCTTCGTTCACACCTAGGCGTATTGTATATGCCCGTCTGTCGCGCGTTTTTTTTAACCGCGATTCGCGGTGAAAAACGCGCGAAAAACGCGCGTTTCCGAGGGCTACTTTTGGCTGTATCCCAATGGAAAACGCCCTACGAAACGGCCCAAAGTAGTCCCAGGATCTTTTCAGGCGTGGGACGTTTTGTAGGGCGTTCGGGACGGGCGGAAATACGGCAAGGTGGGAACGAGGGGGCTAAGAATCAAAACCTAACATGTAAATGGCACTATCTGGTGTTTTCTGGCTTGATGACCTCAGTACTAGTAGATCTGATGACTAGTACAGATAAACTGATTGCAGAACACATGTATAGCAGGGAACAAAGTTATTATGAAGAAGTTGTGAACATTACCATATACTTTATGCCAGCGGTCGCCAACCGGTGGTCCGCGAGAACATTTTGGTGGTCCCAGGGCCCCTCTGATGAAGTGCAGGCTGGGCCATCATTGAAGCGGCATGGAGGCTTCGGGACTGCCTCTCACTGACTCAAGCTGCTGCTGTTACAAGGAATGTGTGGCTCTCAGTACAGTGCGGGCTCTGCAGGAGGCGGGGCATCTCGTCAGTACCCGGACTAAGCAGGCTGCAGGACATAGAAAAAGTGGGGAGAAGCCAGGTAATAGTGGCTCAGTGTGGGGGAAGGGGAGGCATTTCGGTGGTTGGGGGCAGTGCTAAAGCTAGGGACGGCAGGGCCAGTGGCAGATTCGATAGGGGGGGAAACAATTAATATTACTGGGTCGGGGCGGGCGGCACCACTCCCTCCCTCCACCAGCACTGCCACTCCTGCAGGCACACCCGCACCTGTGTATATATATACTGTATGTATGCAGGGGTGTGGAAATTTTTAAAAAAACTACTTGTCCAAGGGCTAAAGCGGGGGCCAAATCTACTTGTCCTTCATGACAATATACTTGTCCCAATACAAAAAAATAGTTTTAATCAAAACTAGGGATGCACTAATACCGGTTTTTCAGTATCGAGTACCAGTACTGATATTTTGCTTTCGGATCTCGCCGACACTGAATACTAATACCGGTGCTTCCGCTGGCATAGAGCAGGCTTTCCTGGTAATCAGGAAGCTGGGCAGCGGGTAATGATATCCCGCCCGGTTTCCTGATTGCCACGGAAGCCTGCTCCATGTTGTTTGGCCTGCTTGATTGTGATTGGCCGGGAAACCTGCTTCCTGGCCAATCTCAAAGCACATGCAGAATGTCCTATGCATGCGTTTATTTGCATGCAGATGGCGGGGGTAGCGGGGTTGGTTTTAATTTCTTTTTCCACGTAATGTTATTCCTATCACATAGGGCATTAAATTCCCCCTGTGATAGTTTGGAGGTGACAGGTTCTCTTTATGGAACCTGAAAAAAATATTTGGTCCACGGTATTTAAATTTATGAATTTAGTGGTCCATGAGGTCCGAAAGGTTGGTGACCGCTGTTTTATGCAATGGTTTGTAATTTTTATTTTTAGAAATCACAAAGTTCTGTCATGTATATTTTGTAGTAAAATATGTTATGCTGCTTTTCAGACATTACCACCTATCAGAAACAAAGACTACAGAAAAAAGAAAAAGTGCAAAAGCAAAGATTCAACTGAAAAGAAACACGAAAAGAGCAAAAAGCCAAAACGAAAATTACTTGATTATGAGTACTGGGACAAGATGGATGTGGTAAGCGTAAGCTTGAGTAATGGCTTGTGTGCACAAATGCATACCTTCTCTTATCCAGTTTTGTACATAATACATTTTGACGTAAGTTTAAAAATGAAATAAGTTAAAACTACATTAATCTAAGAATCAAACAGAAATATCTACCTGTGCTTTGTTTAAATCCCACATATACCCCAGAACATACTTTCCTTTGCCTCCTGACCCTCCATTTGGTACCAGGAGCTGAAGGAAATACCAAGTACATTTAGGTATGGAGGAGAATTACACTCGCTCTATGTGACATTGCTGGGCCAATCAGCTTGGTCCCATAAGCTTGCTTTGATTTTGGTAGCTGAATAAATTGGTGGGTGAGTGAAAGGAAGATAAGTATAAGCGGCTTAGGACAGTGTCATTAAAGTGAACCGGTTGCTTTAGGCAAATCACAGGTTCACTATAAGTATGACTCCTAATTGCTTCTGGTACCATAAACATAGAATTGTTGATGCTATTGGCAACAAATTCCTGTCCTTTTTATTTCTAATTTATATGTAATGGGCAGCACTCTGCTCTCTCTGCAAAGGATGAAACCCTGTGACACATTATTATCTTTGTGGATCATGGTATAAACTAGAGGTGCACTGAAATGGAAATTTTAAAACCGAAACCAAACCAAAATGTAAAAAATTGTCAGGCCGAAACCGATACCGAAAATGTTTTGTTATTTGAATTTTTTTTCAAATATTTTATTTATTTTTTATAAACGCTTTCATTTTTTATATTTATGTTTATACATTCATTTTTTATTTAAATATTTTTATTTTTTACATTACTTTTTAGGGTCTTTGGGGAAATATTGGGGGTCTAAACAGACCCCTGATATTTCCCTTTTAAAATGGAAAAAGAGATTTAGGACACAAAGTCCTCAATCTCTTTTTCTGTGTCCCCTGTTACAAATGAACAGGAATCCTCTATGAGTGTTCCTGTTCATTGATAACATGAGGACATTGTGTGTTTACTATAACTACAACTATGAATGAACAAGAGGGGATGTAGATCACTTCCCATTCATTCATAATTGAGGATATAGTCACCATACCATCCTCAATTATCTACAAACACTCAGCGATCACTGATCGCTGAGTGTTTGTACCGCTCTCCTCTCTGACACGCTGTCACAGGAGGCTGGGTGAGAGCTGTAGGGAGGAGAGCACAAGCTCTTGTGACAGCGCGGGTTGTCTCCGCCCACACACTCTGCCGGACTGTGATAGGCTGAGCGGTGAGAGGAGAGACGCCGTCCGCTCAGAGCGCTCTCCTCCCGCAGCGCTCGGCTGACTATCAGAGTTTCTTTCCTCCCTGCTGGGACACAGAGCAGGGCCCAGCGTGGAGAAAAGAACGCAGGGATGCGCCAATGTATCGGCAGGAAAATGGCACTTTCGGCACTATGCCAAAAGTGCCATTTTCGGCCGATATGTTTTGCTGGTCGATATATTGGTGCATCCCTAGTGTAAACACTTACCGTTTGCATTCACATGCAATGCAGAAATAAGAGTGTAGAAGCCAACTACAAAATATACAATGTCAATGAAACCACAGTGCACTCAAAAATCCACGACTTAGCAAAATGCTTTCTACATTAGATCTACATTACATTTAGATTGCAAGCCCTCAGGGGCAGGGCCCTTCTTACCATCTTGTCTTGAATTGTATTGTCTTTGTAATGTCCTCCTTCTATTGTAAAGCGCTGCGCAAACTGTTGGCGCTATATAAATCCTATGTAATAATAATAATACATTATTCCTTTAATTGACACAGTAAGCTCAACAGTACACAAGAAATATAGAGCTAGCCATCATAATGTCACTGCAATCCTTGGTAGGCAAAAAGGTTTGCACGCCACAACTTACAAACCACTGCTGGGTTCCAAGGTGTTCCTCATCTGTATGGACAAGTATAACCCCTCCCCTAAGTGATTCCTTCTTCTATCAGTGCCTTAAGGCATTTCTTTTTGATGGAGAGACTTTACACTTATTCATACAGACAAGGAGCACATTAAACCGAGTAGCGATTTGTTAGTAGTGGTGTGCCATATTGTCCATCAAGCAATGCATTAATATTATGATGGTCCAGTATTGACCTTGGCCCTATGTTGTTGAGTCCTGAGTGGGTGATGCCGGTGCTTTAGAACTAGTCTTCTATATAAGACTCTGAGAATGGCAACTTCCATTTGAGGCATTTCAGACAAGTGTTTTGCTTTGTAAAAAAAACTTTTTTTACAGCTAAAGCCATAATATTTGTGTGATATTGTACAGGAAAAAGCACTACAAGAGATTGATAAAGAAGACAACACAAATGAATCTGTGTCCACAGAGTCTGATTCTGCAGATGATGATGGAATAGTCATTGACAAAGAAAATGCTCTGTCAGAGAAGGAAAAGGTAAGGCTCCGCTACATAATACCCTGATTTTTCCCCACTGTTGTTCTACTAAAGAAAAGGGAATAATCCTTTGCAAGAATTGGGATTTGTGATGAAATTAAAACATATAGGTACCTTCTGTTTTATGAAGTCTCTTCCCTATGACCAAGCTCACCAAAACATTTCTGGTTATACTTTCCCAAAAGCTGGAAATGCAACACAGTGTTGTACCGTGTTAGCCATCGACAAAGTAGAAGATTGAATTTAGGGTGATGCCTTTTTTTGGCTAAATAAAAAGATTGTAGTGCAAGCTTTCGATTCATGCTGGCCTCTTCTTCTAGACTAGAGGAAAAACTCGAAAGTTAAGAGGCAGTTGTCATTTTTAATAAGCATTGGCTACGGGGCTCCTGGGATTTGTGCATCCCTGTTTCAATGTATGATTTGTTATATATATATTTATGTTATTAGGTATGCAGCGGTACAATTTTTTTCTGATACTTGTCCAACAGATACCAATTACTGATACTTTTTTTTTTTGTGTGTGTCATGTGACCGTTTTTCTAAAACTAGAGGTGCATCGAAATGGATATTTTAAAACCGAAACAAAACCGAAATAAAAAAAATTGTCAGGGCGAAACCGATACCAAAAATGTTTTTTATTTTAATTTTTTCAAATTTTTTATTTTATATTTTTTATAATTTTTGTATTAAATATTTTTATTTTTTACTTTACTTTTAGGGGCTTCGGGGAAATATTAGGGGTCTAAACAGACCCCTGATATTTCCCTTTTAAAATAGAAAAAGGGATTTGAGTCCTCAATCTCTTTTTCTGTATCCCCTGTTTATCAATGAACAGGAATCCTCTATACTGAGTGTTCCTGTTCATTGATAACATGAGAACAGAGTATGTTTACTATAACTACAATTATGAATGAACAGGAGGTGATGCAGATCACTCCCATTCCTTCATAATTGAGGATATAGTACACATACCATGTCCTCAATTATCACTGAGTGTTTGTACCTCAGCCTCCTGTGACAGCGAGGCCTGTCTCCGCCCACACACTGATCTGCTGGACTGTGATAGGAGGCTGAGCGGTGTGGGAGGAGACGCCGGCCGCTCACAGCGCTCTTGCCCCGTAGCGCTCAGGCGGCAATCACAGTGTGTCTCTTCCCCACTGGGACACAGAGCAGCGCCCAGCGGGGAGGAGAGAAAGAATGAATGGATGCGCTGATGTATCGGCAGAAAAATTGCACTTTCGGCATTATGCCAAAAGTGCCATTTTCGGCCGATATATCAGTGTACCCCTATCTAAGGCCCCGTTCACATGTAGCGACATACCTTTTGCAGCGGATCCGCACGGCCGGGATAGCGCGACTTTCGGGGCGACGTTCCAGCGACGGTAGCGCGACCTTCCCCGTCGGGCTCCATAGAAAAAAGTAAAATCGCGCAAAATCCGCCGAAAAAAGGGTCCGGTAGAAGCGACTTGCGACCGCGACGAGCGACGCGCGACATGGAGTTAAGACAGCTCCATTGAATAACATTGGCCGGCGACTTCTCGCGATATCGCGCGGCAAAAATGCGCGATATCGCGGCGGAAATCGCGCGACAATTCGCTATATGTGAACGGGGCCTAAAACAATACAGACTAATGATTTCAGGATAGTGGTGGAGCGCTATGGCCCAGTCACAGCTGCAACCCTGGTAGTTCTCATGAAAATGCCAAATATTGGCGCTAATACAGATACCTGTATCTGAACATCCTAATTTTAGCCAATAAATAGTATCACTCTAAATCCAATGCTTGGAATGCAAATTGCCAAAAGGCATCTGCAGTTCCACAGTACAGATGGCCCTCGGTTTACAACGGTTCAATTTGCTCTGATGCAAAACAGCACCCTTTTCTGGGAGTGTTGTAAATTGAAACCAAATATATAATGCATGTCAATGGGAAGTGAGGGAGTTAGGTTCCAGGCCTCTCTCAAAACATAATACGGGTACATTTTATTTAAAGCTCCTTGTGTGAGCTCATACAGCAGCTTTAAATATAATGCTTATATATTTATGAATTGGCAAAATGAAAAATTCTGCTTAAGGTACCTTCAGATAGGTTCCTTTTTATAGCTCAACTCCTTTCTAGGAACACTTGCTTTCCCCATGCTTCCCTGCTTATCCATCCATTCACCGGGCTGCCCAAGTAGAAATTCCTGTGTTAAAGGAGAACTATGAGATGAGTGATTTCCACTCACCTCATAGTTCTAGCCGACCTGTGACAGTAGATCGGGAGGTGAGCGAACACATACCAGGTTCGCTCACCTCTCGATCCTGTCACGGCTCTCTGCCGTGACGGGGAGGGCTGGATTCCCCTCTCCCCGCTCCGATCTGCCAGCGCTGAGTGGCGGAACGGACGGGGGTGGGGGTGGGTACAGCTGGCTCTGCCTCTAGATAGGCAGAGCCAGCTGTAACTCACGCAGCTGGGCGGATCACGTCATCTACGTCGGGATGCGCTCCGGCTGCGGCGTCTCAGTACAGCTCGCGGTATACTGAGCTTAGGGTAACGGGAGGACTCTAGTTTGTGTCCTCCCGTTACCCTAAGGAGAACTATGGGGAAAAACACTGACCCCATAGTTCTCCTTTAAGTACACAGTGGGATTTTGTAATAAATAAAAAATGAAGTAGGCAGGGCTGACACCACATGCTTTGGAATGCAGAGCCAAACATACACCGTGTTGTCATGTTAAAAAGAAAGGTAGGATCCCAGTATATTTCTGGCGCATCAATCATTATTTTTTCTGCACTTACAGCATGTTTTTAAAAAAAAACACGGGCAAATGTGCATGTATTGCAGAAATATATGAAATATATTTTTACATTTTGCCTTGACGTACGCTCTAAAATATCCAATTTGAAAGATATTGTTTGCCAAAAAAATAGTGCTGAAATGTGAAGGACATAAAGTGTATTTCCACTTTTTTATTTGCTGAAAAATCCTATTGGCTTGCCTTTCATTTCTATGTCCTTTTTAAGGAGGGGAGGTATGTTTACCATTATTAACCCTGTCTGTACTGTGCTGGCAGATCATATCAGCAAAGTGCATGCTGTCTGATCTATCAAAGGGTTAAAGATATCAAGGCCTGGGTGATGTATTGCTTTACAATGTACTAGAAAAACTGCTGCTAAGTGTCCATATAGTGTTCTTCAGCAAGTTAGGTAAAAAAAAAAAATCTCAAGCTGCCTGTAGTGTCCTGTGAATTATCCTGCTCCATAAGAAGCAACTAGAAACTTCAGTTGACTGCAAAAGTGGAACTACAATTTAATCTGCTGCATGTTGAATGGACAAGTAGGTACCGTATTTTTCGCCCCATAAGACGCACTTATTTTCCCCCAAAAGGCGGGCAAAAATCGAGCGAATGTGTGAGAGCTGAGGTGGCGAGGCTGACCGTGTACCCAGGGGTGTGAAATCCCTATCGCCCGACGCCTGGGACATGCAGTTTCGGCCGCGTAGTTTTTTTGTACATTTAGCCCTGCTCCGAACAAGCAGAGCTAAATGTAAAGTGTGGAGCCGTCGCTTGTTTTCATTCAAGTGCTCTGATTAGACCTGTCTCAGCTGTCAGGAACTACACACTACACAGACTGCATCTTATGGTCAGGTGCGCCTGATGGAGCGCAAAATACGGTAAATAGTAGATTGTTTTATAAAGTGTAGACCAAAAATTCCCCTTGCTAAAATACCAGTGCTTGTTTCAGGGAAATAATTATTTTAGAGCTGGAAATTACGATGAAGCTGTGCAGTGCTATACAAGAGGCATGAATGCAGATCCGTATAATGCAGTATTACCAACCAACCGAGCATCCGCTTTCTTTAGGTTAAAGAAGTAAGTCTTTATGCTCTTTTTATATACAGTAATTCAGTATACGGTTTCTGTAGTTCACTAACATTTACACATTTTTTTATTTTGTTGTTCTGCAGATATGCTGTTGCTGAATCAGACTGCAACCTGGCTATCGCACTAGACCGCAATTATTTAAAAGCTTATGCTCGAAGGGGAGCTGCTCGCCTCGCTATAAAGAATTTGCAAGGAGCAAAAGAAGGTTGTTTCTGAAGCTATACTCCTATACTGCCTATAACATTTAAAGTAGGGATGCACCGCTACCAAGTACCGTACTCGGTACAAGTACAGATACTTTTAGAGCTCCAGGACTAGACTAGAGAAAAATTCAAAAGTTAGGAGACACCTGTCATTTGTAAGGAGCACACGGAGCTCCCGGGATCTCTGTTTTAATGTTTTTGTTTTTTTTCATACATATATATATATTCGGGTGCACTGATGCCATTTTTGCAAGTACAAGTACTCATACTTGCCCAAGTTCTCACAGATACAAGTACTGATACTTGTCCAAGTACTCGCAGATATAAGTACTCATACTTGTCCAAGTTCTCACAGATACAAGTACTGATACTTTTCCAAGTACTCACAGATACAAGTACTGATACTTGTCCAAGTACTCACAGATACAAGTACTGATACTTGTCCAAGTCCTCACAGATACAAGTACTGATACGTACTGATACTTGTCCAAGTACTCACAGATACAAGTACTGATACTTGTCCAAGTACTCACAGATACAAGTACTGATACTTGTCCAAGTTCTCACAGATACAAGTACTGATACGTACTGGTACTTGCCCAAGTACTCACAGATACAAGTACTGATACTTGTCCAAGTACTCACAGATACAAGTACTGATACTTGTCCAAGTACTCACAGATACAAGTACTGATATTTTCATAGTACTCACAGATACAAGTACTGATACTTGTCCAAGTACTCACAGATACAAGTACTGATACAGTTTTGTTTAGTGTCATGTGACCGTTTTTCTAAAACAATACAGACTAATGATTTCAGGACAGTGGTGGAGCGCCAGAGCCAGGTCCCAGCTGAAACCGCTGGAACCCTGGTAGTTCTCATGAAAATGCCAAGTATCAGCACTGGTATCTGTGCATCCCTGATTTAAAGTCTCATATCCTTTTAGTAACGTTTGCATTTTCTCTTTGATTTCAATGGACAATATATCTGTTTGTTTTTATTTGCTAGAAATCATTTATTCTTGTAAGTCCCATTTTTTATATAGGCCTCAGCAAACAGCTCAGGGTATTTAACGTTATCTATTAATTAAACCTCTTTAAATGATCAGATCCTTTATACTATATGGGTTATTTTTTTCTTTACAGATTATGAAAAAGTCCTGGAGCTTGATTCAAACAACTTTGAGGCTGTGAATGAACTTAAAAAAATAAACTGTGTAAGTCTAAATTGCTTTTGGCGTATAGTTTAGTAGTTTACTCACTGGGTTCAGCCAATATATATTATAAGTGTAAAGTGTTGTCACAGCGCTAAAGGTTTGAGATAAATATAAAAATATGTGAATATATATGGATCAAAACATGAGTGACAACCCTGTGTATAAGTCTTCAAAAAAACCTACCAATATGAATATAAAGTACCAAAAAACAGGTGTCCATAAAGGACTGAAAAAGTGCTGATGTGCAAACAATCAAAAGGAAAGCTACATTCCTCAATAAGATAAGTGAATAAATGTAACAGGATATCACACTATAAAAACCATAAAACTAAGTATATCGAAGTGAACTATAAAAAATTAAATAACCATTCAATAAAATTATTTCATAAATATGTGAAGAAGTGCAAATTAGCAGTGAAAACAGTGAAGCAAATGTAACAATCAAAATTGTATTGCAGATACAAAGATGAAAAAGATGTAAAAAAATGGAAAAACACAAGTCCTTCCAGAAATTTCAGTCCGTGATGTGAACTAACACAAACTGCACCAAAAAATATATATATACGAAAAAAATAGATAAGTTATATAAAAATCAATATGAGCGTTCTGATGAGAGTTCCACAATTCCTCCTCACCCGATCTGAAGCCCCCCAAACGGTGGTTACTCACCAGATGGTGTATGGACAGCAAGCTCCTCTCAATAGCTGTAATTCCGGTCCCTTAGCTCACTGATATGTGCAATCAATATATATTATAGTTGTAATATAATGTAAACCATATTAGGGCTAATTCACCAAATCATAAAACTTGTAGTGTTTCAGCGACAGCAATAACCATTTCCCCCTGGAAAATGTAAAACCTAGTTTATATTTTCCTATTTATCTCAGAAATGCTATTCTGCTGGATAGTGACTTTAAAGAGGAACTCCAGGAATTGTAAAAAAAATTACCCTTGCAGTGGGGCTACCCCCCGCAATAAAAAGTCTGTAGATATACTCACCTGATCCTAGTTCCCGCCTGGCTAATAGACCGGTCCCCACAGCATTTCTCTCATGGGCTCTGGTCGTCTAAGGACCCATGACATCATCAGATCTAATGCAAGCGCATTAGATGTGAGGTCACCAAGGGGGCATTCCACCGTTGGAGTGGATGGGGAGAGAGGTAAGCGGTCACTGCTGCAGGACCAAGGATCAGGTGAGTATATCTTCTATATTCTGGCCCCTAGAGAAAAAAGATCAGTTAACCCTTGCAGTGCAGGGGTAGCCCCACTACAAGGGTTAATTTTTACAATTCCCGGAGTTCCTTGTTAAGAGTTCATACATCATTGTATTTAGAAATGTGTTTGTCATTTGAGACCCAGCTATGCTGAGGTTTGGAAACAAACCAAATTGCACAGAAATGGTAAGGGCTTTTCCCTTGCATTGAATGGTACAGCCTCCAGCTATGCCTTTTTGTAGCTTGCAGCTTTTTTCTGAATGTAATATTTTATATAAGAATGGCATTTCAGTGAGTAAAATGTGAGTGTGTAGGCACCAAAGCAAATATGTTAGCTGCTGAAGCATGCAATACATTCAAAATGAAACGAATCTAGGCCTGGTCATTTTTAGGTATAGTAATGCACGTTCCTCTCATTTTGGACCTCCGGCATTTTCAAGGGAATAGATTTCCTAAATTGTAATTAAAGTTATCTGCTGTGCTTTTGAAGTAAAATAAAACTAAACAGTTTTTATACTGAATGTATTTTAATTTTAGGAGTTACAGGCATCAGGTATTACTCCACAGCAAAAGGAAGAAGTAAAAGAAAATGAAATCGTTTTATCTGAAGAAGACAAAAAAGCCATAGAAGCCCAGAAACTGAAGCAGCAAGCAATCGTACAGAAAGACTTGGTATATCTTGTTTTTTTGGGGGTTTTTTAATTGTCTCTTGCTTTAGAGACTTCACAGTGTGGAAGTAAAGCAAACCAGCACTTTTATCTGATTATGGATGCTCTAAATGCCTTTAGTTTGGTCAGTCACACTGTATGCAATTGTGGTTTATAGTAAGTGTCTACAATACCTTACAGTAGCTGATCAAATTAGTAAGGAGTGCAGGGCAGGTTAGAATTTTACTGGTGGCTATGGGTCACCTCAAACATATATATATGAGATTCATTAAGACTTCTCTGCCAGTTCATTATCCCGTAGCAGACAAAGAACGAGAGACCCGATCAAGGTGACAGCCACACTGTTGAAAACGACAAATAATCTTAAAACCAGCAGACATACGGAATCAAAGGCAGAAGAAAATAATGAGATCAGTTAGACTAATTGAGATATATAAGAGACTTGTATATACACCGAGTATTTGAACTTTATTAAAACATGGCTTGAGAGTAGAAAAAGAGGATGCAGGGTCCATAGGACTCTAGATTTACATAGAAGGGAATTTATCAAAACCTAGAGCAGACAAAATCTGGAGCAGCTTTACATGGCAACCAATCAGCTCCCCTCTCATTTTCAAAACTTAACTGAACAGACTGAAGAGAGAAGCTGATTGGTTGCCATGCACAGCTGCTCCAGATTTTGATACATTCCCCCCATAGTTTCTGATGGAGAAACTGAATTGTAAAAATGAGGGCTTATCTAGGATGCTGGCCATAGAAGAAATAGGCAGTAAAATGTGTATTCCATTCAGCAAGACCATCCTACCGCCCAGTGCTCCTGGTTTTCATCCAGACATTGGTATAGTGCTCCAGTCCAGGCCGTTCCTTATGTCAACAAGAAAAGTATTCCCAAATAGTTATTTGCTTTCTTATGTTTGTAATGGAATCTTGTACTGTGTTAGCCATTAATTATTGCAGAAAATGTGGAGATTATACAGAAATTCTGATGTATGAAATCCTCATTACTTAGAAGTTTCTTACAGGCAACTGTCAGATTTATCCTGCTTGTGCCAGGTTGGTGGTACATCAGAACAGAGAGGTAGTTACAAAGTTCACACTTCCTTAAGCAGACCTCACATATCAGTTCTCTTGAATCTGGGTTTAATAAAGTTGCAGTATTTTCAACTGGTAGGCAGTAGCGGTTTTCTCATAGATTTAACTTGATGCCTGACATTTTACTGGGGCTTATAATTGGGGCTTTAATTGTGCATAATTCTGATAGTCTTTTTGAGAATGTAAAGAGATTTGTATGTATATATATATATATATATATAAAAAAGATAAACTCCAGGAAATGTAAAAATAATCCTTGCAGTGGGGCTACCCCTGCACTGCAAGGGTTAACTGCTTGTTCTGGTCTACGGGCTAAAATAAAGAAAATATACTCATTTGATCCTCGGTCCTGCACCAGTGAGCGTTCACCTCCTGTTTCCCTCCGCTCTGTCTGTGGAATGTCTCTCGGTGTCCTCGTGTCTAATGCAGGAGCATTATATGTGTTGATGTCATGGGTCCTTAAACTGCAGGAGCCGGGGGAAGAAGAAGCTTTGGGGACTGCTCTAGCAGCCAAGTGGGACCAAAGATCAGGTGAGTATATCTTCTTTATTTTATTTTTCCTGGAGTTCTTCTGTAAAGGAAGTGCTCTTCTGCTAATCTCTGGTGTGTCTTTAAATTGCCTTTCTTTGGATACTTGTTCTGTTTATGCTAAATAAAATTCTCTTTGAAATCTTATAGGGCAATGCTTACTTTAAGGAAGGAAAATATGAGGCTGCTATTGAGTGCTATTCTCAAGGTCTTACAGCAGACAGTACAAATGCACTGCTACCAGCAAATCGAGCAATGGCATATCTGAAAATTCAAAAGTAAGTCTTGTATAATAACAACTGGAGTGGAGGAACTACACTCCCACTTGTTATTCTGTATTGGGTGGGCTACAACATGGTTTAGTACCAAGCAGCATTGTTAAAGGTCTCTGGAGACACACTGGGAATAACTTTCCCTCTTCTGCTGTTCAATGTGACAAGCATTGCTCAGTGTGGGAAAGAAGCCTGCCCTTTTCATTCCATAACAGAATCCTTTATTTTGAGTTGTCCTGTAAGGCATCTAGGAATTTTAATGGATATCATTTAGATGGAATATAAGCCATAGTGGTGTTTTGCAAACAAAAGTCTCCCTAATCCACCAATAATTGTTAGATGAACTTTATAGCAAATGTTGTATACAGATAGTATTCTGACTCCGATTGTTGTACCAGCGATTCATCCCTTGCTGAGACCTCCATGCCTGGCCTGTAACAGATATAATCACTGCAGACAATCCTTATCAGATAGCTGAACTCACCAAATACCTTTTTCCATCTGCAAAGGTGCTTTATTCTGTACATCAGGATACAGCAGATGAATGAATAGACAGTATTTGAAGGTCAGAAATAGTAATGTTTCCAAGCATGCAATGAAGATTAACATGTGGTCATGTTACTGTCAGCCATGGCACTAGTGGCTACTAACATGCAAAGGGGAAATACATCATAGATGGGAGGGAACACAGAAAAACATGTGCAATAACCAGAATGACCACAGGATGTCAGTATATATATTTAGTCATACAATATCAATGAGCAAATGGCTTAAGGAAAATAAACTATATAAATTCTCATCTAACATTTGTATGAAAATTAACCATGAATATGAATTGTCACAGTCTATGCAACCACTGTGGCAGCACAGATAGCTGATTGTGAAAAGAAAGAATCATGAGCTTTCTATATTTTATCATATAACATAATAAAATAATCGAAAGTTATACATGTGTATATGTGTGTGCTGCCATCTCATTAGTATCTTGCAAGGTCAAGGTCATTTTACTCCACTGAGCAATCACTGAGTTTTCAAGTAATCCCTTTGGAGATCTTTGTGTGAATGGTGTGACATTTAAGTATCTGTTAATACAAACAAAGGTCATAGGAAAGCAGACTGTGAATCAATACCTGTTTTCCATATAGTGCTAAAAATATCTGCCATAGATTTAGAGATACATTTATCTGACAAATAATTTTGGTAAATAGATATTGCTGCTGCTTTGCGATGTGTTATGTTTTGTGAAATACTCTTCTAATAAAATAATAGCAATAAAACAGTGTCTTGGGTGCACTTTCAGATACAAGGAGGCTGAGGAAGACTGCACACAAGCCATAGCTCTAGATACAACGTATGGGAAAGCTTATGCCAGAAGAGGGACTGCAAGAATAATGCTTGGAAAGCTAAAGGAAGCAAAAGAAGGTGACTAATAAGAAGCCAACTGACATTTAGTTACTTGATCTTAATGACATTCATATATCTAGCCATATACATTCACAGATAAAATCCCTATAACATTATAATTACTTAATTTGGCTTGAACAGCATCATTATTTTGGGCAGCTAGTTTCCTCCAATTTTCTGAATATTATTTTATCAATATTTTTCCCTTGTTCATGTTATTATCTGATTGTACAATCTCGCATTGGACTGCTGTTCTGCATATTTGGCAAATCTAAGCAACCTGTTCAGTTTAGAAACAATAAGTTAGATCAGTGGTTCTCCACCTGTGTAACATTAAATGGCCCACATTTGTCCTTGGCCATTAAATCACGACCGAAGTCACATTGTGGTACCGCATTCCGGTGCAGGTGATTCAACTGTGAGCGGGAGGTGCATTTGGGGTGCCATTTAAATGAATGGTAACGCAACACACATCTCTCACCAGAAAGCACGGTAGATGCGATTGCATGGTACAATGCGTTAAGCGCACGGGACTGTGCAAGTAACACACTGTACTAGTGTGAACGGGTCCTCAAAAACACTGACATACATAGAAAAATACAGACACAATCTCACACACTCACAGACATTCTCACACACACATACACACTCCAAAAAAATAGTTTTTTTTGTAAGATCCACCCTACCTTAAGAGAAGTGGAGGGGATCCTCAGCCTGGGGTCCTGTGTGGGCTGCTGTGCTGTGACAGAGCTCCATCCATATGTGCACTGCTTGTACAGCTCCCTTGCGTGCCCTTATAGAGGTTGCGGGAGCCAGAATGTGATGCTACTCCAGTCCAGGCACCTCTAGAGTGCACGCAAGGGAGCTGTACAAGCAATGCACATATGGATGGACCTCCGTCACAGCACAGCAGCCCATCACTGGACCCCAGGCTGAGGGACCAGTGTTCAGGGGACCAGCTGATTCTGTAGAAAACTAAAACCTTTAAACCTTTAAGCAGCATCCATTGTAAAGGATTTAGGGATATAAAAAAGACTAAAAACTTTATGACTTTAATATCATTTGAAGGGTTTTAGATCCTTTGGCTAAGGTTGTTATATTGTGGAAGCCACTGCTAACCCTGTTTTTTTTTTTCCCCTCAGTATTTTCCTGTTTACTTCTAGTGGGCTTAATTGTCTTGCCAACAATATTTGCTTTTTGTAAAGCTGGCCATACATTGTTCTATGTTTTTCGTTCAGCAGGCTGAACAAAAAAAAAAACAGGTTCCTCTATCAATGTTACAAGCACGTTGATTGAGGAATCCCCACTGTTTTTGTTTTTTTTTGTATTCTGACAGCAGCCGCTGTCAGAATACCCAAACAAAGTGGCAGCTCATAGGCTGCCAACTCTGTTTGTTTGAAGATTTCCCAACCGTCTCCTTCAATCAGCTGATCGAGTGGCACCCACTGTGCGCGTTTCGGCCGGTTCTTCAGGAAGTTTGCATACTATATGGCCAGCTCTAGACATATTATCTTCCCTATAAAAACAGTTTGGAAATGCTTCAATATTATGTTGATTGTTGCAGATTTTGAAATGGTTTTAAAATTGGAACCTGGTAACAAACAAGCAGTATCCGAACTGGCAAAAATATCTCAGGCAAGTATATTGATCTACAGCAGGTATCTAGGTGAGCAGCATGCTGTGAAAATGATAGTCTGTTTCTGTTGTCTATACATCCTAGATTCAAATGCATGATTATTAAAACAATCCTCAGTTAGTCATCTGATATTTTTTTATCTGTGGTTTTAATAGGTTAAATGTCATTATTGGCCCGGTGGTCCATACCAGCTGTGGTATCTCCTAATATAGCACAGAAAAATAAAATGAGAACTCTCACAAGTAAAATCAGTCATTGAACTGAAATAATTAATACATGAAAACATCATAGCAGTAATAGAGTGATGTACCGTGTAGCCATCAATCACTGCAGAAGATTTGTAGTTTAAATTATTCCTTTTATTGGCTAACTCGAGTTAATAAAGATGAAAGCTTTCAGGACCCCTTAGGTATCATCAGCAGGCTGTGTCCCAAAATCTTGCATCTCTAATTCTAAACCTTTGTGAGAAAAAATGCAGCACAAAGCCCTCTTTTTTTTTTTTTCCTCCTAAGGCCAATGGGCACCATTTAAAAAAAAAAAAAACTTTAAAATGATTTCTAACTTTCTTGTTTGCTTCAGAGCCATGCACATTACCCCAGCAAAAAAAAAGAGCACTTCCTGTACTCGTGCATGGATAGAAGGTTCCAAGGCAGTGAAAGGGGTTGACCTGGCAGCGTAGACAAAGAGCTATGAGATTAAGCATCCCTAGCATCCCCTTAGCTGTGTGAGCAAAGGCATAGGCTGGGGCTGAGTCAATGAGCTGTGAAATCAAGAATCCCCAGCAACCGTTTTGCTGTGCAGCTGTGGTCCTGGACGGGAGTACGCACATACAGGTGGATCCAGGGGGATTTCGCAAGGCAGTGGAGCCACCCCATAGGAGAAAGTGTAGTGGGCAATATTATCAAATAGATCTTCTGCAGCATGACATAACCTGAGAAGGAAGTGACTGAGCGTATGTCTGAGTCTATCAAAATGTAAAGAATGTTTTACTGGTTTAATGACGCTTTATTAACTTGTGTTATCACTTAAAATAGAAACTTTCTACATGAAAACATTGTAAGTGTGCCCAAATTCACTCTGTGTCTAACCAGCCTAACTACGTTTTATATGGAGATAAGGTAAAGGCCTGGTTTTAAGCCATCTGTATTTTGTAAAAGCTAGGGATAGGAGCAGAGAACCATCACTGAAATGGTGAACGTCAAATAAGAGATCAAGGCCAGCAGCTATGAAATGTGTCCTATTATCAGTACAGCAAATGTTACTGAGATGTGAATTTCCTGTGAAAAAATAGGTTTGTGGCGAATGGGACGTGATCCTGTAAATGCAGACAGAGAATATTCTTCTTGCAGCAAAAGATCCAAACTTTTGGTGGTTAACAATCAGTGAAGGATCAGAGGACCAATTAGTTTCCCTTTAATAAATATATCTCTGAGTATTAAAGTGATTTAATTTAGCCTTTTTAAATAGACATTAAGCTCAGGAGTTACATTTTAAAAATGCATTCAAGTACCTTTATTAACAATATTGTATCTTCTTTGTGTATCACTCAGGTGTAGATCCTCAAATCATCTCTGAATTGGTGTTGATAATTCAGAGATGATTTTTTTCCCCCATAATCCCTGCGTGTGTTGTAAAGTAACCACCTCTCCAAGCTCACTCCCATAATGGACCACAATCTCATGTTTAGTTTACTACTTTGTATTGAGATTGTAGTCCATCACGGGAACAGTGGCTACTTTACAACACACACAAGGACAATGGTGAACAAAAATACCCACCCACCAGAAGCAAGGACAGTGTCAGCACTCTTTTTAATGATGATTTGAGGCTCTTCAGCTAAATGATGCACTAATAAGCTACATTAATTTTAATAGGGTACTTGAATGCATTTTTAAGATTTAACTCCTGAGTTTAGTGTCACTTTGAGGGCATCTATTTGAACGCAACGTAGCTATTTATGAATTAATTTACTACAGTGTATGGAGATAGGCCTCATTATTATGGGAGACTCTTGCCATCCTCCTTATGAACTGTTTGTCCCCCTCCAATCTGGTCAGAGGTTAAACAGAATTAAAGCTAGAACCACCAGTCTGAGGAAAATAGTTTTCCCTGATGCTGTGAGACTGATAAATTCTGCATCACCCTGAATTATCGCTGCAATTTTTATTATTTCTTTTTGGGGCATCACAGGAATTTGCTATCGATAATACTGCACTTCATGATTGATAATAGTGCAACCTTTTGAGCATCCTGCTGCTTTTCATGGGTAGTTGATGCTTAAATTGAACAAATTGGTGTTAAATCAATATTCTTATTATTTATCTTTAGACTTTTATCTTTATGCGTATGTTTACATATTTTTTTAAATGTATTTGTTTGTCTTGATTATTTTTCATACCTTGTTTTGTTCCTTTACTGCTCTAGGAACTTGGTGAGAAAGTAGTAATACCCATTCAGAATGATTTTGTCGGTGAAAATAAAGGAAAAGATCACAGGAACTATGTAAGGCCAATAGAAAAACCTGCACATCTGAGATCTACAGTAAGTGCATAACATTTCACAGTGATCTGCCTATGTAACATGATACTTGTAGTTCCCCATTTGTTTCTAATTTAAAGCCATATGTTTCAGAACATTCCTTGTTTCCACTTGGTTTATAACATAGACTAGAAGGTGCGTGGCACATAAGGTCACATGCGATGTTTCTATTTCCTAGTCTTTGTTAGATTATGAAAGCTAACACCTGGTGTGACAATATGGCTGGAATTTGTAAATGTTTTGTTAATGGAGGCCCCTAAGCAGACCTCATGACAAAAAAATAATCTTCAAGTTCAGCCCTGTAAAGCTGGCCATACACTAGTATATTTCCAAACGAACATTCATACGAAAGTGACATTAAAGGATAATCCCCCCCACCCCCAATGCTAGTGTAACGGCTTACCTTAAATGATGCCTCTTGATCCAATCAACTGCTTTCCTGTAGCTTTCAGGAGTCCCGCCAGCGCTGGTGCCGGTCTACGATCCTGCGCTGACTCCTCTCTCTTAACTGGTACTTCCTGTCCCACGGAGCACACTGCTGCATTTACTAACCCTGTGTCTCTCCTCGTCTCCCGGCCGAAGACCTGAACTGCGCCTGCCCCAAGATCCTTTGCAGCCGCTCGAGAATCTTCAGATCTTCAGACGGGAGCGCGCGGCGGAGACACAGGTAAGTTTTAACCCTTTTGAAAAGTGTGTTTTTGCTCTGCTTGCTAGTAGATATATGCAAAAACACGTGAGGGTTTAATAACCCTTTAAGTAACACCTTGGTTGTTTGTGAAATCTGCCAGCTTAAAGGTTAAAATCTGCTGGGCCTTAAGATGGCCATACACTGTGCGAATTTCGACAGTTTCTTCATGAGCCGTGTGAAATTTGCTTAGTGGGTGCCGCTATCGGCACCCTTTCGGCTGGCATCCCTCAATCAGCTGAACGTTAAGATTAGGGGAAAAAATAGACGGTTTCAGCCTGTCAAATTTGTTTCGGTTTTGGTCTAAAAATTTCATTTCGGTGCATTTACTTACTAGTATAAAAAGTAAATAGTGAACATTGGATTTGAGTAGCTTACCATGGTCATCTTGTTCAGTTTCACATTCAAAAGCACAGAGTTGCATTGTGAGGGTTCATCATGATCAGTATTGGCAGAGCAAATATTATGTTGTTGACACACATAAAGATAGTGATCTCAGGAGCTATTGAGAAATTTACACATGATTTGAAGATTATGCAAGACATCTTCTCACTTCTGATGTGGGCTCATAAGAATGACGGTCTTTGGAAATGTCTATGTATCTGATCCTAGTCCTAAATATGGACACACTTCTGGCAGTGATAACAACTGATTTAATTTAAAATCATAATGGTACAAATTATTTGGGTCTCTGTTTATTCCACAGTCCAGGATTCAGAGTTTTTATATAAGTTTACATTCCAATTACAACCTCTTCTTTGTTATGATTTCAAATTTTAAATCTGATTACATTTGCAGTTTTTTGAGTTAACCACTTTAAAAGTAACTCACAGAGCACACTATATAGTTTTTCTTTTTTTTTAATACATTGCTGACCATATTAAAAATAATTCTCAAATAATTTTAGTTTTTTATAAAAATAGTTTTCATATATAATAAGTGTGTGTGTGTGTATTTGTGGCAGCAGGCTGATCAAAACGTCTTGGTCTATCCAGAATGGCAGTGATGTATATGCCAGGTTCAGGTGTTATACTAAAGCTTGTCCTCTGGGGGGGAAGTGCTGAGAGGGCTGGAGGCTTGTATCAAGCCCAGCTGAAGCTAGCTGGCTTGTTAAGACCTCTACAAAAACTCCCAGCTTCCTTAAGGTGGCCATACACCTTGCGATTATCGTACGATAATCGCAAGGTGTATGGAAGGCGTGCAACCGTTTCTACTGTACAGTCGCACGTCTTTTGTCGAAGGAGCATGCTAGAAAACCCGCCGAGAATCGTATGATTGTAGGCGGGTTAGTGGCGTGCTCATTCGACAACTGCCAGTTCAGCTTTGCGGTCTTCGGAAGCCCGATCCTCATGGGGGCAGGCTTTCGATGATCACAAGTACGATCTGCCTTTCCAAGATGGGCAGATCGTAGGAGCTTTTAATTAGCTTACAACCATCGAAAGACTTAAGTCTTGCGATGGTTGTAAGGTGTATGGGCACCTTAAGAAAGGGGCCCCACCCTAGAACCAGTCTGTGTGTCTGGCAGACTGGGGGGAGCAGATCACCTGTGTGGTGAAAACCAGCCTGTGTGGCAAGTGTGTTTGAGACAGCCTTTGTGGGAAAGGTTTTGTAGAAAAAGACAACCTGAAGTCGGTGAGATGTAGGAATTGTTATATTGCTGAAGGGAAAAGCTACATTTTGTGTTTAGCCTGTTGGAGAAACCCCTGTGAGGGAAAAACTTATCTGAATGTTTAAATAAAAGTGGGCAGGATGCCCTAAAAAGTTGTTTACCTGGAGTGTGGAAGTGTACTGAATGCGCTACCATTTGAAGCTAATCCTCACTATATATATAATGAGCAGTTTACATAGTATCACACAGAGGGAGATTTATCACAAATTTCTTTGTAGTTAACATCATATCAAATGCTTCCATAAAGCAAATTATTTAGCAAGTCCATATTGATTTTGGCCCTTCACACTTTAAAAACCATAAATCAATTGGCTTTTCCCTGGATTCTTGTATCACTAAAAGGCCACAAA